TTTAAATGCATCTCCATTGTTTCTGTATATAAATTGATTCTATACTAGCTGTATCCCGCGGCTTTTCAAATGTCAATCTTATTTATTCAATAGAATATTTATTTATTTAAATAGCATTCTCTACCAGTCAAACGTAATACTAAGTTATAACCCATCCAAATAGGAGGGAAAGGGATTGTTAGCAATGGAGTTTGACAGCCCCCTTTGCTAGCAATATGCCCTATTAGGTCGACATCCACTTGGTACCTCCTGGAAACCATCGTGAACAATTCTCGTTGAATTCGTCACGATGGGCTTACTGACCTGCTTCATCCTCACCTATCATCCTTCACTAGTGCCCCGCCGGTGTATACCGATAGTGCGGGTGGGGTTACCATTCCATTATCACCCATTAAAAAAAAAACCATCAAGAATGTGTTTACTACTTTTTGCGTGAAAGAGTGTTACTCTTCCACACACATCCAACCATATATCTGAACTTTCGTATAATAAATAAAAATAGATTAAAAAAAACTTTAATTTTGCTATAACTAATCCTGCCTGTGTGGTCCCGGCATAGAACAGGCCACCGCTTCCTTTCCCGTGGGTGTCGTAAGAGGCGACCAAGAGATGTTTTTGAGGGATGATGCTACATCATCCCTCAAAAACATCTGTAGAACCTGACTGCGGTAGCTAATCCGTCAAACAAGCATGACAGCTTATGGCAAAACCCTCGAAAATGGGCAGTTAAACGCTGATATGATGATATTTATTAACAGAAGTTCTGAAATCTTCCATACTAGCCATCAATCTCCGACTGCCATTTCGTCCATGCATGTTTTCACATGCTTCACCTCTAAACGAGACATATTCAGACTAATTAATAGATCGCTCCTCAGAGCCTAGTTTTAACCGTTCGGCTTTTTCGCAATTCGGGTATCATCTGGTGATAATAATAGTACATAGTCAATCTTCTAGTGTTGGCAGTCGCACACATACTAATGGTGGCGGAATTAAACTAAGTAACTAATCAAATAACCAGTGGTATGGATTTCTGCAAAATAACACCTAGTTCAATAAAATAAAAGTATTAAATAGAAATTTTATTATTAAACTATTTATTAATTAATTTTACAATATGAATATAAATAATTATAAACTACAGAATATATTAAATAACTATATAATACTAATAACAATTACGATATGAATAGATACACACCGATACTTAAATAATAACAATAAGAAAATACGTAGCTATCGTGATACAATTTCAATGACTGGATAATATTGTAACAGATCCTTAGACTATTTCTAAAATGAAAAAAAGTGTTGTCCTCCTCTCTCCTACTTGCTGTGCCCAACAGGGTCCATAATTGAAATGTTATCTACTAACTATATTATGGAATGCAATAAGAAATAAATAAATAAATAAATTTTTTTTTGCAATAACACCATACACCTAATTGGATAGACTGTAAGCGTGTAATGGTGCTAAGCTCTTAATTAAATGTAACACCATCGGACACTGTCATACACGACGTGTCTTGTCAATTCGTTTTGGGGATTAGACGCGGAAGGGTGGACCGCTGGGGTGCTACGGTTACCGATCATTCATCTAATAAAACTGATCGAATCAGAAATAGCTCTTAATTAGTTCATCTTTTTTTTTTTGGTGGGTGAAAATGGAATGGTAACCTCACTTCCACTAACGGATACGCTAGCGGGCACCAGTGAAGGATGATAGGTGAGGATGAAGTAGGTCAGTTAGCCCATCGTGACGAATTCAACAAGAATTATTCACGATGGTTTCCAGGGGGAACCGCGTGGAGGTCGACCTAATAGGGCATATTGATAGCAATAGGACTGTCCAACTCCATTGCTAACAATCCCTTTCCCTCCAATTAGTTCATGTTATGATTTAAGGTTGAGATACACTTTAAACTAAAAAGAGTTAAAAGTTTAAAGTTCAAAATATAAAAATTTGCAATTATACTATAACTTAAAATCCATGTGATGATGATAAATGTGGTGATGGAGTAAGAATAGAATGAGTCAGCACAGCTTTTGATGAGCAGGATATCGTAAGAAGTACCTTAGGGTACAAAACAGCACAAAAGACAGAAAACTCGCAATATAACGCTTACTCAGCGTAGTCGTAATAAGCTAATATCGTCTTTTCCTAGAAGGAGACTTTGTACAAAAGTCGATTGCTTGGGTACCTATGTCCCATTCGTGTTTCAACCGTGAAGCAGTTGTGTTCGCTTGGCTGTGTTTCGGTTTGAAGGATGGGATATGACGTGAATTTACAGGGTACAGAGGAATAACACCTAAATCCTCAGGAAAGGCAACGCATGGGGGGTATCATGGGCGAAACAGTATACTCTGTTATGTCCATGGTACTGCTCATGTCTATAGTCGACGGTTACCACTTTCAATCAGGTGGGCCGTCAGCTTGTTTGCGATTCTAAGTTGTATAAAAAAAAGAAAAGTATTGTATTACTAATGTGCTATTTGAAGAACTATTTTCAATAATAAATGATCTATAAAATATTACAATTAATTGCAATTAAGTGCAAATAATTGCAATAGTGAATAGATTATTTTTTTCTGTTTGGCTATTTAGGCCTATTCTCTATTATTAAGACCATTTGGTATCTATTCTCCTCTCCTTTTTCTAAGAGTTCTCCCCTAATTTCTATAAATAAAAGGAATTTTAAGAACTTTTAACAGCAATGCCGTCTATCTCCTCTGAATAGTGTACTTGATTATTATCATCTTGCTACCATTTTTCTCCTTCGACGTGATATGCTTTCCTCTTTGATACATGTCTATTTGTAGTCATTTCAACATTTACTTTCATTCTGGCCATATCATCTTTCATAAAGTGCGACCATGTCTTTTTAGGGCCTATATTACTTATGTAGCTATGATTATAGGTACTCTTCTTTTACTTCTGAAAGTATTTATTCATCCCTGATATGATAAGTTACTTCTTGTTTTTTTTTATGTCACTGGCGTTAAAAGGCATAATTATTTCATTTTTATATACTGTGGCGCTTCCTTTTTATTTTGTACATTAATCTAGAATCATTAAAAATAAAAAATATTGGAGTCACCTCATAAAAATGCAACCTTGAGATCAATAAATATTTCCAAATCTCAATGGTCATTCCCAAATAAACTTACACGTATTTGCATACAACCTGATTCCCAGAACGCCTCACTGAATGCTAAAAATTTTACGTGAATCCAAACAAACGGACAGAGAACATAATAATGGCCGTGAAACTGTTTACACAGCAACAATGAATGTCAAACCCGCCGTGTAGGTAAGTGTAGGTCGACTCGCGCGCAGCGGGATATTATGGACTAATATTGAAATATCTTTTATCTCGCTCCTCAAATTAGAAAAAAGATGACACCTGTCAGTAGTGCACCCGAGACTCCCAGGGATTTTTAAAAAAAGAACGATATTCCTGAGCAATGAGGCGTTTGTGTAAACACACATTCCGTTACTGCAAAATCAAATCTACTCGTATTGAAGTTAATGTTGATAATCGACAAAAGTCGATTGCTTGGGTACCTCTGTCCCATTCGTGTTTCAACCGTGAAGCAGTTGTGTTTGCATGGCTGTGTTTCAGTTTGAAGGGTGGGATATGGCGTGAATTTACTGGGTACAGAGGAATAACACCCGAGTCCTCAGGAATGGCAACGCATGGGGGGTATCATGAGCGAAACAGTATGCTCTGTTATGTCCATGGTACTGCTCATGTCTATAGACGAAGGTTACCACTTTCCAAAGGTGGGCCGTCAGTTTGTTTGCCATTCTAAGTTGAATAAAAAAAAGATACACCTGATATAAAAAAAAACAATTGACATTTAATCATCACCATTATATCAGCCTTAAACTGTCCACTGCTGTACATAGGTCTCCCCCTTGGGGGGATTTGCCAGTAGTTGCCACGCTTCGCAGTCAGATTGCCAATCGCAGTTAGGTTTTGAGATGTTTTAAGAGGAACGCTGCTGCCAATCTCTTGCCACTTCTTAGTCGCCTCTTACCACACCCACGGGAATAGAAGGAATGGCCTATTCTATGGTGGGACCGCACGGTTATTGACATGTAATGAGTTTAATTAAAGAGAAGAGCACGGATAGCTATAACAATATTAGATCTTAATCCTTATAGCTACATTTCACGTTGAATTAAACCATGTGACTATAATAAACTATGTTTTCATTTTATATGACATTTTAGCTCAACACATTTTTTTTTATACAACTTAGAATGGCAAACAAGTTGACGGCCCACCTGATGGAAAGCGGTAACCGTCGCCTATAGACATGAGCAGTATCATAGACATAACAGAGTATACTGTTTCGCCCATGATACCCCCCATGCGTTGCTATTGCCGAGGACTCAGGTGTTATTCCTCTGTACCCTGTAAATTCACTGCCGTATCCCACCCTTCAAACCGAAACACAGCCATGCAAACACAACTGCTTCACGGTTGAAACACGAATGGGACAGAGGTACCCAAGCAATCGACTTTTGTACAAAGTCTCCCTCTGGAAAAATTTAAAATTGGTTTATAGGTTTTAGTTTTTATGAATAAGATAGTTTGTTAAGTGAATTTAGACTTGAAAGATATAAAACATGTTTACGTTTACATTTCATATTTATAGCTTTCAGACGAATACGTCTAAAGACATACAATACATTTTTATTGATAATGTACGGTTACCACTTTCCATCAGGTGGGCCGTAAGCTTGTTTGCCATTCTAAGTTGTATAAAAAAAAGATACTTTTACGGCATTTTCTTACATTCTTTCAAATTAAAAGTTTAACACAAAAGGCAAAGACAAAACAATAGCGACTAAAATACGTTTATTAGATGTTTAAAATTTTTATGAAAAAGATTAATATCAACTAAACAACGTACTTAATCAATAGATCTTAAAAACGAAGTCATATTGTAAAAATAACGTAATAATAGAAAAATATTTTTCTTTTTTCCAGCACCGAAACTGATGATACCGCCAGCAGAGTTCGTGAACCAAGGCGGCATCGGCAGTCCCCAAGAAGGAATGCGCACACCGACCGGCAGTCAGATGTTGGCCAACCCACTACTTAACCTGAACAACACCGGCCGGACCAACTTCACGAACAAACAACTGACCGAACTGGAAAAGGAGTTCCACTTCAACAAGTACCTGACGAGAGCGAGACGAATAGAGATAGCGTCGGCGTTGCAACTGAACGAGACGCAAGTCAAAATATGGTTTCAAAACAGACGGATGAAGCAGAAGAAAAGGATCAAGGAAGGTCTAATCATAGCACCTGAGGTGACGCCGTCGCCGTCGCAAAACAACGCCGTGGGCTCCAACGAAAACAGCAGAGAGTCAAGTTAAGCTGTTTACAGTGATACCGTGGACTTTATAAAAGAAAATGAGACTTTACAATGTAAATTCGGTATAAAGATTAACAAAACAGAGACGTATTGAGTATGTGTTGGTATAAAGATAATGATTTTATTTTTTTTACGTTCTAATTTTAAACTCGTGCTCGCGATATAAGTATATATAAATTCCCCGATAGATTAGATAGTTCAATTGAAAATGTAGATACTAAATCAACTCTCATCTGATGATTCACATACTACATAAGTGGTATAAACACAACATCATCACATCTTAAGAGATTAACAAACAATCATCTAAATTACTAAAAAGAAACAGCAAATTGTCAATTGAAAAGTTTGATCAAACTGTTTATAAATACTTTTAGCGATAAGGTCGTCCATTGTTCTCTCAATGTGATTATTTCTTGTAATTGTTTGTATCTATAATAAGTTTACTACTGTAATCTTTTAGAGGAAACAATAAAGAGTATCAATCTATGTTTTCAACGTTTGTATGTTTCGTATACTGGTGATGATAAAACTGAAACACAGCCATAAAACTGAGTAAATATTGATATAAGGAAAAAACTAAAAAACTTCGCTCCACGCATCTCTGTTTTGTTAATCTTGCCAGTGAACTAATGAAGTGTAGAAGTGGACACTATGGACAGTAGTACAAACTAATTCCAATCAATAAGTTCGACTCCTGAGAGCCTACCATGAAATGTTTTCTGAAATTTCGGAACCAAAAGAAACAGAAATTTGATGTTAAAATTACATAATACATGCCGTTTGGAAATATTAAAAATGTTAAAATATCATTCCTCTGGACTTTTATGATAGGATGTATGACGAACGAAATGTTAAACTCCATTTATTGGTCCGATTTTGGTATAAACAAAAACACGTAGTTGAGTCCGAAATTTAGGAATTTCATTTCACGGTAGACCCGCTGTTGTTTGTTATTTAAATAGGCAACGTGTAACGGAACGGGTAATAAACGTAATAATGGTAGATACAGTCATAATAACCATAATTTTTATTTCGGACTTTTTTGGTCCATTAAATATTTATTAGTAATAATATTCCTAAAACTAATGTTAGTAAATTTACACACACAAATACAAACTATAAATACATAAACTAAATTGTGATTACTGAACTTCCAATGCATTCCCGTAACGTGAAAATAGAAACGAACTTTCTATAACTTTTTAGAATTCAAAAAACGTGGTTGATTCTAAGACGCCCTCGGGTTGGTACTGTTTACTAAACTTCTTTACTGATTGCAAAAAACTGCTAATTGTAAATCAAAATCTATATATTATCTGTATATAGGTACAATAGAAGATGTTGATTGACATACTGACCCATATATCAACGCACGGCCGAAACCGTTAAATTTTGAATCTTGGAATCTTACAGAACGGTTTTTTATATAGCGTGAGTGAACAATAAAAGAGGAATTTTGAAAAATCAACCTCTAAGAGGGTAAAACGAGGGTTGAAAGTTTGTATCTATTTATTTTCGTCAGTTTAGAAATTAGAAACGAGAAATTTTAAATTTAGACTCTAAATTTAAAACAATAAATTAATATATTTATTGGCTTTTAAAGAATTCACTTCTAAACAACTGAAATAGGGCATAAAAATTTATATGGGAAGCGAAGTTGAGGGCGAAAGCTGGTCCATATTCTAAATTTAAATATTTACAATATAGGGTACTTATAAAACTTCTTCTACATATAGTACTTATCTATGAAGCATCATGTTAACAATGAAAATGGTTTCATATTACGAAGCAATATACTCTTGTCTTGGAAGAAAATTCCTCGAATTCACAACTTGTCATACTTGTACCGTTACACGTTGTATATTTAGTAAATTAAATCATGATAAATACAATGTTTTATTGCGTTCAATGGTTTGATTATAGCTATCTATAGTTTAAGCTCCTTATTGCTTGGGACAATAGATTATAAAATATATATATATATTATCTCATAATTTCATTAAATTATAATCATCCGAAACAATATAACTGCTATAATTAATTTATTATATAATACTTAGCCCTATTTATCAAATCAATATCTTTTTTATTACATATAATCAATTTGTTTTGAATTCACTAAACCATTGTAAAAGCGATTTCCGTAATATCATTGACGCCTACTTAATCGGTCTGGTAACGGCGTGACCAATATCTCTTTATAGCAGTTGTATTATTATAATTATTAAACAGTTTTTTAATAAAACATTACCGCTTAATACATATGTTTCTCAGATGAGAATAAAGTGGATTAAAAACAAATTTATCTAAGTATTCTTGAAGCAAAATTGTACTATGAAACTCTACCAGTGGCCGTAGCCCAGCACGTAGGTAACATTGAGGGGCAATACACTACCATAAAAAGCCCAATGCCCTACCTTAAAATGTAAATCCCCAAGAAAATTAGATTCGCTTTTTCGAATTCATTTAATAATAGCTTATGCCCTACCAAAAAGTTCTTTTGCCCCACCTTAAACTTCGGTCTAACTACGGCCCTGACTACCTCTAAATAGAATGAGATAAATGCCTACAGTTGGCGTTAATATTTATATAATTTCAAATTGTTTCAATCACAATATTTCATCTATGTATTAATAAATATTATAAGGAGAGGGGAGGGATTCTATAATTAATCTGATTGGACAGCTTAACCTAGTACGTGTCGAGATACAATGAGATTGTAACGTATCCGTGTAAATGATGTTAGTATAGTGTTTAAGGAAATCGTTTAACTCCTACGAGATTAACGGATGGCTTTCGTTTCTAACCGTAACGTGCAGCGGCATTAATACATAGTGACAATTAATTTATTTTATGTATTATTGTATTAAATTATGCACTTAATAATTAATGCTTACCATTGTATGGATTAGTCTTTATAAGTTCCTCGCGTGGATAGGGTGTCATTGTATTATGCATTAAAAAAAAAAAAATTAAACTGCGTAATCATAAAAAATACTTTATATATACCATATATACATATAATTTTTTATATTTATTTTGTAACATTATTTTTATTTTATTAGACCAAAGCTCATTTTTTTTTCTAATTTATTGACTAGGCATGATAATCGTGTAATTAGTAATGTACAGGTGACATAAATAATATAATAGATGTATATAATGGTTGCGTGTTATGTCGATTTGTGTGTACATTTTATCATTAAGCTAGTACCTAAAATTTTATCAATAAAATAATTTTATCTATTTTCAATCTGACGTTTTTAATTGATAACGTGATTAACGGAACGTTATTTGGGTAACTATTTATAAGTAGATATATATATATATATATATATATATATATATATATATATATATATATATATATATATATATATATATATATATATATATATATATATATATATATATATATATATATATATATATACGCGTGCAAGGATGTACCTAATGAACAAAGGAATAACACCTTAGAAAAATTATTTCCGTTTATCTTAAATATGTAAGAGTAAATACATAATACTTATATATACCAGAGGGAGACTTTGTACAAAAGTCGATTACTTCGGTACCTCTGTCCCATTCGTGTTTCAACTGTGAAGCAGTTGTGTTTGCATGGCTGTGTTTCGGTTTGAAGGGTGGGATATGGCGTGAATTTACTGGGTACAGAGGAATAACATCTGAGACCTCAGGAATGGCAACGCATGGGAGGTATCATAGGCGAAACAGTATACTCTGTTATGTGCATGGTACCGCTCATGTCTATAGGCGACGGTTACCACTTTCCATCAGGTGGGCCGTCAGCTTGTTTGTCATTCTAAGTTGTATAAAAATAAAAAATAAAAAAAAATAGTTATATGTCCCTCATGATTTCTCCCGCGACCTAAATCATTTCATATGGGAAGGGATTTTCAATAACGTGGACTACCAGTTCCATTGCTAGCAATATACCCTGTCAGGTCGACCTCTGCGTGGTTCCCCCTAGAAACCATCATGCCGAATTCCAGGTGTATTCATCACGATGGACTAACCGACTTGCCTTTTTAATCTCACCTATTATCCCTCACTGGTGCCCCGCAAGCGTACACCGATAGCGCAGGCGGGGTTACCATACCATTATCATCCATTACAAAGAAGAATCCTTCCATGGTTTACAAAAAAAAAGGGGAATTTAAATACGCTATGATAATTTAGGCCTTTGCTCAGTAGTGGACACATAGAGGTAGAGATAATGACGACGATAACTTACTTGAATTATCTCGACTCGCCGTGTGGTCCCGGCATAGAATGGGCCACGACTTCCTTTCCCGCGGGTTTCTTAAGAGGCAGCAAAAGAAACTTAGCAGTCAAGGGATAGGCAGCAGCGTTCCTCTTAAAACATAACCAAAGCCTAACTACGGTTGCCAATCCTCCTGCCAAGCGCGCCAATAATCTTAAATACGTCATGACAAAAAGTGGTAACCATCACCTATTGACGTGAACAGCACTGTAGATAAAAATAAACATTGTCTTACAAAAAAACCAACTTCAATTGCGACAAAACTAGTTATTTTGGTCTAAACTTGAAACTACTAAGCCCGTATGGTCCCGGCATAGAATAGGCCACCCCTTCCTTTCGCATGGGTATTGTGAGAGGCAATTAAGAAGGGCGAGGAATGGGCAGCAGCGTCCCTCTTAAAACATCACCAAATTTTCACCACCTTATAACCCGCCAAAAACTAAAATTTCATCCTAACCAATCTGGACGAGTGGCGGTCCTCCACCGTGAGTTTTTTAAGGCACTTTCTCCCACGCACAACCACTCTTTGGAATCAACTTCCAGCAGCAGTATTTCCGAACCGATACGACAATATAACCTTCAAGAAAAGAGCATATTCCTTTTTAAAAGGTCGGCAGCACACCTGCAATGCCGTTAGTGTTGTGGTTGATCATGGGCGGAGGTAGTCACTTACCACCAGGTGAGCAGCATGCTCGTTTGCCCCCTGTGTTGTAAAAAAAACCATTGCCTAACTGCGGTTGCCAATCCGCCTGCGAAGCGTGGCAACCACTGGCAAAACCTCCCAAGAGGGAGACTTATGTTCGGCAATGTGAATTATATGTGTATAAAATGTAGCATTATGCCCAGCACATTAGTGTCTAAACTAGGCCTAGCCTGTATCTTAGACACCAATGCCTTCAATTAGATATATATTTACATGCAGTTTCGCTATATTAAAATAGTACAAGATTCAGTAAACAACATGTTTTATATTACTAAAATAGGGTATCTGTAAAATAAATTACAGTGTTGTATCAAGAAATGTGGCATTATTAGCAAAATAAATGTCACGCTCTGTATTGTTCAGCTGGTCATTAGTGCGATGAAAAAAAACCGTTGCGTAGTTTTAAAAATTTAAGCAGACATAGGGACGGACAGACAGCGACAGCGACTTTGTTTTATACTATTTTATACAATTTAGAATGGCAAACAAGCTGACGGCCCACCTGATGGAAAGTGGTAACCGTCGCCTATAGACATGAGCAGTACCATGGACATAACAGAGTATACTGTGTCGCCCATGATACTCCCCATGCGTTGCCATTCCTGAGGACTGAGGTGTTATTCCTCTGTATCCAGTAAATTCACGCCATATCCCACCCTTCAAACCGAAACACAGCCATGCAAACACAACTGCTTCACGGTTGAAACACGAATGAGACAGAGGTACCCAAGCAATCGACTTTTGTACAAAGTCTCCCTCTTCAAGTAAACTTTATACTATGTAGTGATTTAATAAATATTAAGTCTCTATGTGTAAAGCTTGCTCATTCGACGAAACTCGGATTATACATATAAAAATATACATTATTAAAATATATATATATATATATATATATATATATATATATATATATATACAAATATTAACTCAAGAGCGAAGAAAAGAAGCCCAGAAGAATGAAGACACCATGCCGACATACACAGAACAACAGTGTATGCCGGTTGCAAATCCAACGATCCGGAGGTCGTCGCCTCCGGAGTTGAAGCCGGGGTAATGGGGTACGCCCCGAGGCCCCTACCCCGCCCGCCCACACATCATCTGGCGGGCTAAGAGAAGACCCTGTTGTTGTTATATTTATTTCCTACAAAATTAATTCCTATTGAGTAAATATACCACGTAAGTATACTTTCAGAACTACAAATCTGAGTAAGGCAACGCCATCTTGTTTCGTCATAAGGAACTACTTTTATGCATGCTCATTTTTAATTCCTGTCCTTTTCCTTCAAAATAGTGCGTCAATGTACATTCATAACTAAATTATAATTACGATTCGAATTAATGTTACACAAAAACTCTACAGCGCATAATAATATAAAACAATTATGCATATTAGTGATGTGCCGAATATTGGATATTGAAGGGATGTTTTACCTGTTTTTATAATGACACGAGTCATTATGTGGAATTCTAATTATAGATAGTTTATTATTTTAAAATATCTCAACAATTTAATTTAAATTATAAACAAAACAATAAAACTCGCACAGTACAAGTCGAAATATCATGTTACTAACGCGAAAAGTTAACTATTATTTCATGAGGGATAAAAGATTGTCAGTAACAGAAGCTAATGGGCCTATTGCTGGAATTGCCCTTTAGAAGTCATCAAGGTTAATTTTAATTTATTTTGTCATTACTTTTTTATTATTATTAGTACTCTTAATGAATTCGTCGCAATGGATCAGACCTGCTTTCATCGTCCCCTTGCATCCCTCAATGGTGCTCCGCCAGCATATGGTGATAGCGCACAAAGATTACCATTCCCTTATCATCCATTAAAAAAACTATCTGATACCAACAGAGTAAAAAAGTATAAGTCCATATCCGTGTTGATAGATCTCGATACTAATTACTTACCGCATTGGTATATATACATTTTAATGATCCGGCACAACACTATTATTGAATATGAACTAATAAGCAAAAATTCAGTTCAATTGAGAATCTTAATCTTTCAAATTCCTTTAAAATACCATATCTACATCTAAAATACTTAATTATATTTATTATACGTATTCCTGCTTACATTACTATTTAATTTGTTCCAATGAAAATTTTTATCTTATTGTTTTACACAAAAATCCATAGATGGCGCTGTAAGTATTTCCATTACAACAAATTAACGGTACAGATCTTTCTTCGTAAGAGGATATTATCCAACCATAAATTACCGATCAGGCGACTAGGTACTGCATTTTATTTTCAGTTTACCTTCTTTAATACTGGTGTATTATATTTTGTTTCATTCCTCGCCTTCAACAACTACAACGAAATAAATGGAAACATACTCTAGATATTGTTAATTCGCCGCAATGCGGAGTATTACAGACTTTCCACTAGATGGAGCTACGTCGTCATTAAATGTAATTGCAAGTAACTTTTACTTGTAGAATGATGATATTGTAGCAACACGTGCATTTAATAAAAAAAAAAAACCGTCCGAAACCGAGACAGGTCACAAATGTGTATCATGTCCACCCATCCTTATCCACCCTTCAAACCGAAACACAGCCATGCAAACATCACAGTAAAAACACGAATGGGACAGAGATGCTCAAGCAAACGACTTTTGTACAAAGTCTCCCTCTGGTAAAAGACTAAGTCAACAACGAAGTAAAAATAACGAAAATAAATAATTTATTTACGAATCAATAAAAAAAAACCTATACAAGGAAAAACCTTAACAAACTCACATTTACAAATTCACTTATTTTGACACTTCTTATAAGTCTAAACACTAATTTTTCTCAATAATTTCGAATTTGAAGTCATTTTCATGAAGTTGTTGTATAAGGCTTGTATTACGAAATGCAGCCCCCGTCGTGAGCACTCCGCCTCTGAAAACGTAAACGTAACAATTTCAAGTTTCGCCAATTGAAGAAACTGAGAATAATTCTCGATCAATATCATATCAGGCATTTACTGTCCACCACTGGACATAGGCCTCTCCCATTAGGGGGGAAGTTTTGCCAATACCCACGCTTGACAGGCGAGTTGGCAACCGCAGTTAGGCTTTCCCTATATTTTTTATACGACTTAGAATGGCAAACAAGCTGACGGTCCACCTGATGGAAAGTGGTAACCGTCGCCTATAGACATTAGCAGTACCATGGACATAACAGTACACACACATACTGTTTCGCCCATGATACCCTTCATGCGTTGCCATACCTGAGGACTCAGGTGTTATTCCTCTGTACCCTGTAAATTCACGCCATATCCCACCCTTCAAACCGAAACACAGCCATGCAAACACAACTGCTTCACGGTTGAAAGACGAATAGGACAGAGGTACCCAAGCAATCGACTTTTGTACAAAGTCTCCCTCTGGTCCAAAAACCAGCGTCCCTATTAAAACATTACCATTTTAATAGGGGCGCTGCTACCCATCCCTTTAAGTTCTCACTAGACCTTTAAGTTCTCATAGTCGCCTCTTACGACCCTCACGGGAAAGAAAAGGATGGCCCATTCTATGTCAGGACCACACGGCTATTTAAGTATAAATATTTAATCTAAATATGGTATTTAGATAATACAGTAAATACTTAATTAATACAGTAAGTGCTTTATATTATTCTCAAATTCGTGTATAATATAGTATATGTCATATATGTGTAAGTATATTTGTTATTTATATATATTTATTCGTTTATATATGTAATTTTAGTATGTATGTATATCAATAATTAGTAGTACCGCATTCGAGTATTCTGACACTTGCCTATGGTTGACTGGGAGAGAATGCTTTTAGCATTAAGTCCGCCATGTACACATATTTGTACTAATGAATAAATAAAGAAATAAATAAGATAATGTATGTGTTTCTATCAGTCACCCGCAATGTATTGGCATACTGGGGGGAGGAGTTTGTTAGTAATGCGGACTACCAGTCCCATTGCTAGCAATATACCCTACCAGATCGACCTCCACGTGGTCCCCCTTGGAAACCATTGTGTTGAATTCCCGGTGTATTTATCACGTTGGGCTAACTGACCTGCCTTTTCATTATCGCCTATCATCTCTCACTGGTGCCCCGCCAGTGTAAACCGTTAGCGCAGGCGGGGTAACTTTTTTTTTTATACAACTTCGAATGGCAAACAAGCTGACGGCCCACCTGATGGAAAGTAGTAACCGTCGCCTATAGACATGAGCAGTACCATGGACATAACAGAGTATACTGTTTCGCCCATGATACCCCCCATGCGTTGCCATTCCTGAGGACTCAGGTGTTATTTCTCTGTACTCAGTAAATTATTCCATTGTCATCGATGAAAAAAATGTATTGGCATACTCACTTGGGCATCTTGTGCTGTTCACGTAAAATGGTGAGGGCGCTGTGCAACACTCCAACCACAGTGGCGCCGTAGCCGGGGTTCACTCCTGACACCTGCGTTTACAGTTCAATAGTTTTAATAACAATATAATTAAAAAATTATAAAAAAGTTTGTTTTAGGGTTCCGTACCTCCAAAGGAAAAACGGAACTCTTATAGGATTACTTCGTTATCCGTCCATCCGTCCGTGTGTCAAGAACCTTTTTCTTAGGATCGCGTGGAGATATCAAGTTGAAATTAATATCATATACTCAGGTCTACAATCTCTTAAAGTAGTGATTTTTTTATACAGCTTAAAATGGCAATCAAGCTGACGGCCCACCTGATGGAAAGTGGTATCCGTCGCCTATAGACATGAGCAGTACTATGGACATAACAGAGTATACTGTTTCGCCCATGATAACCCCAATCCGTTGTCATTCCTGAGGACTCAGGTGTTATTCCTCTGTACCCTGTAAATTCACGCCATATCCCACCCTTCAAACCGAAACACAGCCATGCAAACACAACTGCTTCACGGTAGAAACACGAATTGGACAGAGGTATCCAAGCAATCGACTTTTGTACAAAGTCTCCCTCTGGTAGGTAAGTAAGTAAGTAAGTAAAATAAAGCTTCTACCATCACCATACTTACCCTTGCGACCATGGTCTTATTCGGCGGCGTACTCTTTGAATCCACTCCCTTCCCCCACCCTTTACCGATCAACTCAACTCTGAAATGGCAGTTGTTCATCACCCTCTCGCTGGGGCCTTGCTTTGTAAGCATTCCGGCAGAGAAGAACCTGGGATGATCTAATAGTAGATTCCTCGTGAACTTAAACATTGCCATTACAAATAGAAACCCAGCAGCCAGGGTGAAGAGAAGTGCAAGGAGTAGGTTGGTCATCTTGAAGTATACCTTAAAATAAATGGTACTTGTAAAAATAATATATATGCCTATGAAAAAATCACATCGTAACAAAATCATGATGGTGTATTCTTATAGGAGGGGACAGATATAGATAGAATATTCTTCATCATCCACTACTGAACATAAACCTTCCCCATTTCGCCATCGTCGTATTCGTCGCATTCGCCGGATTTCGCCAGTAATTGGCGCACTTTGCAGGTAGATTGACAACCGCAGTTAGCCTTTGGTGATGTTTTAAAAGGGATGCTGTTACTCATCCCTCAAGCATACTCTTAGTCACCTCTTACAGTACCCATGAGAAAGGAAGGGGTGGTCAATTCCATCCCAAAACCATACAGCAATAATAATATAATATTCCTTTTTTTAATAAGCCGGCAGCACACCTGCAATGCCTTTGGTGTTGTGGGTGATTATGGGCGGCGGTAGTCACTTACCATCAGGTGCTCGTTTGCCCCCTGTATTGTAAAAAAATATAATATAATTTAAAAGAACCTCGAACTGCACCGGTCTCTCGCCGTCAAAGTACGCCCGATGCTGTGTCCGGTACACTACGAACTTATCTGCGCCCAGGAAGGGCGCATACCACTCGTTGCCTCGTTTGTGGAACGGAGCCCTGGACAATCAAACGTATAAGTATGCAATTTTTTAATAAAACTAATTAGATATAAGGCGACAAACACCTAGGAGCACTTTCTAGAACATCCAGATAATAAAAATATTGGAGAAAACTTTATAAGAGACTCCTAATTAGACTGGTGAATAATAAAACTAAGGACCTCGTGAGAAGAGATATTGGAATTTCAGATTTTCATGAAAAAATCTAAAATATAAGATATGTGTCTAATTATAAATAAAAATCTTTATTCTGATCAATGCCCCCACATAACTACAAAAGTCGTTTGCTTGGGCACCTCAATCCCATTCGTGTTTCTAGCATGTGAAGCAGTTGTGTTTGCATGGCTGTGTTTCGGTTAGAAGAATGGGATATGGCAGTGAATTTACAGGGTACAGAGAAATAACACCTGTGTCCTCACGAATGGCAACGATATGATGGGCGAAAGAGTCTACTCTGTTATGTCCATGGTACTGCTCATGTCTATAGGCGACGGTTACCACTTTCCATCAGGTAGGCCGTCAGCATGTTTGCCATTCTAAGTTGTATAAACGAGACATTTTTTTTATTGCATAATTATCACTTAATAATTAAGGACTCTACTACACCACCACTTATAACAAATATTTATAAATATTTTAACTGACTTCAAAAAAGTTTGGAATTGTATTTATAAAAATAAATACTATGGAGCTTATTATGCTTACCGTAACTTCAATTTCGGTTCAAACTTGAGCTTTTTCTCTGGAAATAACTGCTTGCGTACAGATCCCAATTTCAATTGATCAGAAAGTCTGCAAGAAACACGTTAATTTCAAATTTTAACACAAAAATTGTTTTTTAAATTTAAAATATTTTGTATCTTGTAATGTAGATAGATAGATAGATAGATATTCTTTATTGTTTCCTCCAAAAGATTACACTTATTTATTATTTTCACGTACCCTCAAATGGGTTAAAGCTGAAAATCAGTGTTTTGTTCCTTGAACAATGTTACACGCTGAGCTTCGACCTTTTTGTATTGCTGCAGATCACACATAATAACACAATTATAAATCTTATGTTGTTTTATGTATTATCTATTCTTATGTACATGTTGTGTGTGATTAGTAACAAACAAATAAACGATCTATCTATCTATCTAACTTATTGTAAATATTGTATTGTAAATGTATCTACAAATTAAATTATAAAGACTCGTAATATTTAGACAATACCGCCCGCCTTAAACTAAAATTTCATCCCAACCATCTGGACGAGTGGCGGTCCTCCACCGTGCGTTTTTCAATGCACTTTCTTCCACGCACAACCATTCTTTGGAATCAACTTCCAGCAGCAGTATTTCCGAACCGATACGACAACATAACCTTCAAGAAAAGAGCATATTCCTTTTTAGAAGGCCGGCAACACACCTGCAATGCGTTTAGTGTTGTGGGTGATCATGAGCGGCGGTAGTCACTTACCACCAGGTGAGCAGAATGCTCGTTTGCCCCCTGTGTTGTAAAAAAAATTTACTAAATTTAAAAATTTTATTTAATAATTTAAAAATTTACCCATAAACAAGAGAGTCCCACGTGCCATAATTAAGAATGCCGGTTTTATTCGCCTCCTCTCTTACTTCGGGTGATACGTAACTGCTCATATACGATTCCACTGAGTTTAAAGTACCTGCAATTGTCAAATTATTTCTTTTGTATTCTTGGCATTGACGTAACTTCCTTCTTGGTAATAATGATTGTGTTAAGGATCTGCCTGATGTAAAATTGCTACTTTCACTTACTGACATTTACAATATTGAAGTTTGCACAGAATGCACTGGCTGGGACAATACGGGTAGTATCGCTTACTTGTTGCAATTTTATGCTTGCTCGAAATGCAATTCATTAATCATTCCTAGCTACCTCGACACACGCGAACACGTATATACTGAATTATTTTACATATTTTACCAATTTCTAAATCATCAGCCTTTAACTGTCCACTGCTGAACATAACACTCTCTCTAGGGGAGTTTTGCCAGTAGTTGCCACGCTTGTCAGGCGGATTTGCAACTGCAGTTGAGTTTTGAAGATGTTTTAAGAAGAATGCTTGTAAAAAAAACTTAAAACTTAGAGATTTATTTGCAAAAAAATTTAGAGATTGATTGAATAACTGACTGATCTATTAGTTGATTGATTGACCTATTGATTGATTGGTGTATTGACTGATTGATCTATTGATTGATTGGTTGGTTGATTAACTGATTGATTTTCTTGAAATCCCTATGGACTCGGCACGGAAAAATAGGTTTCATGCGAACATAAATATTTAAATTCATTCGCTTGTTTAGCCGTGATTGAGAGACAAACATCTAAACATCGCCTAATATCTAATGACTATGTACCTTCCCAGTTCTGCTGCAGGAACACGACGCCCATGTCGTTGGGGATGCTGTCGAAGCCACAAGCGCTCACCACATACACGCCCGCTTCGCGGGCCTGCGCGTCGTACACCAGCTGCATCGTCTCCATAAACTGTAACACAGGTGATATCGACATCATCACCCTGACAAAGCGTGTCTCTTAGACGGGAACTTTACCGAAAACAACTAGACATGCTGTGTGACCTTAAATTTTTTTATGCTTTGAGAAAAATATTCGGTTTCATCGGTATAATGCCTCTTAAAAAGGATCCTAAAGAAGAAGACTTGATAAACGAAACTTCGAAGCATTTCGAGCTGTTACATATATTCTATTGGATAGACAAAGAGGATCGGGTGTCAATAGTTTCTAATAAAACTAATTTGTAATATCACTTCTCTTACTACATTCAATTTCATAATTGGTTTATGTCATAATGGATTTCTCCCTCAGAATTATAGAACCTGTTTAATCTTAGAATAGCAAACAAGTTGACGGTCCACCTGATGGCAAGTGGTAACCGTCGCCTGCAGATATGAACTGCACACATCACATATGACGCCCATGCTTATTCTTCATACTAGAGTTTTCTGACAACTAAAAAGTTACGTCTTCTAACCTATTTATTAAGAAGTTGTCTCCATAGTTCCGTACCCTAAAACTTCACCGTCATGTTTCATCCTTCAAAGCAAAACGCAGCCATATCAACATAGCTACTTCGCAGCAACAACATGAGTGTGACACGAGTATCTAAGCCCAATAGTTTTTTTTTAACGGATGATAATGGAATGGTAACACCGGCCGCGCTTTCGGTATACACTGGCGGAGCTCCAATAAGAGATGATACGTGAGGATATAGCAGGTCAGTTAGCCCACCGTGAAAGAATTCAACAAGAGGTGTTCACGATGGTTTCCAAGAAGAACCACGTGCAGGTCGACCTAATAGGGTATATTGCTAGCAATGGGGCTGGCAAACTCCATTGCCAACAATTCCTTTCCCCTCAGTCCAATAGTTACAATAATTTCTATTTTCATTACTGATATTCATTCTGAATTCTATTTCCCATATTCAAGCTGACCACCAATATTCTACAGCTAGGAAGGATCGCTCTGTCATTTTCACGATTCAGAACTACCAAAAAGGTCTAAGTAGACGACATTTGTAGTACAAACCAAGGGCTCGCCACTGATGTCCACGTAGTGGGTCTTGGCTTCGATGGCGGCGCGTACCACCGGCTCTCCGTAGAGGCGATACGGGCCGCAGCAGTTCACCAGCACCTTCGCCTGCGAGCACATCTCTCGCAGCGATTTGTGATCACCAGTGTCAGCCACTATCACCCTTACATGTGATAAGTCCTTACCTGCAGTTAATAGCAGGAATAAAGCCAACTTTTATACTTACACATGTAAAATAAAAGTTATAAGCACGCTTGAAGAACCATCATTTTCCCAAAGTAACATTAGGTATTCAATAACTATATTTTTGGGCTCCTATACAAAAACAACCCATCCACTTGTTAAGCTGATATGAATCCTTTTTGACTCATATTTTTATAGAAAAATGTACATTGTGCTTCATTGCTGTATGGTCCCGGCATAGAATGGGGCAACCCTTTCTTTCCCATGGAAGTCATAAGAGACAAGTAACTTAACAGTTGAAAAATGAGCAGTAGCGTCACTCTTAAAACCAAAGCCTGTCTACAGTTGCCATCCCTCCTGCTAAGCGTGAGAACTACTGGCGAAATCTTTCAATGGCAAATACCAGGAGGACATAGTCCCAGCCCGTTTGCTCGGGACCGTTCTTTATGATAGTCTATAAGGGAAGATCTATGTTCAGCCGTGGACAAATAACCACTGACATAATAATGATGATGATGTACATTTACATATCGTAAATATGACGATACATTTATATATATTTATATGACGTACATTCGCTTCGTAAACTAAAACACGCGTGTCAAAACGAATTACTAAAAAAATTATAGCCAGTGTCAGTCAGGATGATGCAAGGATTCTAACGTATCCATACATCCAAATAGGAGTGGGTAATATAAAGTAATATGTATATATTTTAGATACAATACCTATATATTGGTCCAATAACGTATATGTTAAAAGTTTGTTATCCAAATAATAATATTGGTTAACAGACTTTTAAAATATTCGAAAATAGATACCCGACCGATATGGGCGATATTGAAATGGGTGATGACCTTATAAATTATATGCTATTATAAAAAATAGAGGGCAAAAGAGGAAGAGGAAGACCGTGCAATAACTACATGGGACAGATAAAGGAAACACTAGATGTCATGTCGTCTAGGGAGATCAAGCATATGGCCTGAGATAGAACTGGCTGGGAGAAGATGCATGAATTAGTTGCACCGACAAGAGGAAACTCTTAAAAAAAAACTATATATTATATAAGAACCCAATATATAAATATCGGATCAGTATCCATATTACCTATGCCTACATTCAAAACTGTTCAGGCATTTATGGAATGAAAAAAATATTATACTCCTTTTATGCCTACAAAAGTATCCTATACCTGTTAACTTAGAAACATCAGCCAACACGTTTTCTAACTTCTGCTGCGAGCGGCCAGCCACTCCCCATGATAGATTGTCGTAGTACTTCCCCCCACGGGCCACCTGCTCCACGACCTTCTTGCCCGTAAAGCCGGTCGCGCCAAATATTACCAAATCCAGCCGTGACATCTGTCGCAAAAAAATATCATCAGAATAAATAATAACTAACGCTAGAAATAAAAACTTTTTTTATACTACCTACTACTAGTATGGCAATCAAGCTGACGGTCCACCTGATGGAAAGTGGTAACAGTCGCCTATAGACATGAACAGTACCATGGACATAACAGAGTATACTGTTTCGCCCATGATACTCCCCAAGCGTTGCCATTCCTGAGGACTCAGGTGTTATTCCTCCGTACCCAGTAAATTCACTCCATATCCTACCCTTCAAACCGAAACACAGCCATGCAAACACAACTGCTTTACGGTTGAAACACTAATGGGACAGAGGTACCCAAGCAATCGATTTTTGTACAAAGTCTCCCTCTGGTAACATAAATAATTATATAAATACATAAATAAAGGATGCCAATTTATCAAAAAGAGAACCAGTCAGACAGAGAGAAGGTAATCTAACAAATTATTAACAATTTCCTTACAAACTATGGTAGTAAAAAGTGGATATACAATTGAAACAGTTCAGTTAAATGCAACCCAACCGACTTGATTAGCATTCGAATGGACTTCTACATGCGGTTTTGCAATCCCATCCTTTTTTCGTTACTCACGCTTAAACGACTGAATAGATTTGAATAAAATTCTGTACACAGATAGATCACTATCCTAGACTACATATAGGGTGCTTCTTTTCTGAATTTGAAACCGCGGTATACATGTAGTATCAGACGTAAGTCTACGCAGATTAATAATTAGACTTTAATCAATAATTTAACTAATTAAATTATTGATTAAAGTCTAATTATTTATTTAACTGTTAAATAAATTTAAAATCGTTAAACAATATCTTTTTAATTATTATTTCATATTAAATGTACATAATCACTGTATGATTACACACAGATAAATTTATGATAATCTTAAAAAAGTAACATGTCCTCGAAACGCTATAAAAACAAATCGTTCATTAACGTGTTTTGTATAAAAAAAACAAATATATTTACATAAGTACATACCGTATGAACGCGTGTTGCTCCACTGGCGCACTTTATTATAGTGATACATGCTGAATCATTGAGTATAACTGTGATACGTCATATTTATTATTATCTGATACAGGTAGGGTTGGCGATTCGTGATCGATTAATCGGAAAATTTATTTTTAATCGATCTTGTCAAATGATTCGATTGTGAATATTAGATAATATATATAAAAAAATAGATTTTTTTTCTAAATTTAATAAAAATTCAATTTAAGACGCAAAAAATATCGATTGTATTTGAAGTTTGAACTTCAATTTGTTTATTAGAATTCCGTATTCAAAAGGTACAAAAACCCTTATGGTAAGGCTGTGTCCGTCCGTTTGTTATATCGTTAAATCTCAGCTACTATTAATGGTATGAATTTGATATTTGCAATAGTTTTAAGTACATATATTGTAATAGAAGTAATTGAATATATATTTTCATTGTCTTTGCTAGGGAGACGAAAGCGGATACTTAAAATTTCGATATTGATGTGCTAGTCCAAGTAGAATATTATTAAAAGAATTATATATATACACTATATTATAACTGATTTTTATTTATTTTTATACTGCGTAGTTTTTTAGTTATGATAAAAAATATGGCTGGGGAAACCATTCCCCGGCCCCTTTTTATTTCCGAAGTTTCTGAAGCGACAAATCTGAAATAATTACATAAGTAAAAATATAATATCTCAATCTAGCACGGCTTTTAATCACGGTGTTATTCCTCTGTACCCTGTAAATTCACTGCCATATCCCACCCTTCAAACCGAAACACAGCCATGCAAACACAACTGCTTCACGGTAGAAACACGAATGGGACAGAGGTGCCCAAGCAATTGACTTTTGTACAAAGCCTCCCTCTGGTATATACTTACTCACTTAAAGTGAAATATACTAAACTACTTTATGGTAAAATTAAATTGAACACTTCATAAATCGATCGATTGCACGATTCAAAAATCGATTAAATGAATCGATATTTTCGTGTTCAAGAACATCATTAGAAACAATAATTGCAAACAAACTCTAATTATACTTAGTCATATAAATGGTGAATATATTTATACTTGCCTTTATCTCGTTGTATCAATTATAATCTATTATAACTGCTTCAAGTATTTTATTATAGATAATTAAAGATTGTGTCCTTCGAAAAAAATCTATTTCCATTGGTGATAAAACCAGTTATTTTTTATGTAAAAACAAAATTATTGAACCGATTTTGATAAAATTTCAACGGGATCAATCTGTAAGTACCTATATCCTTTCAGACAAAAATAGAATAGTCCAATTCGATTTCTCACCGACGGAGTTGGGGGGAAGGGATAATTAATAATGGGCAGGTTAGTCCTCTTTGCTATTAACATACCCTATCAGGTCGACCTCCACGCGGTTCCTCCTGGAAACTAACATAACAAATTTATCGTTGAATTGGTGAGCTAACTGACCTGCCTTTTCATCCTCGCCTATCACTGGTACCCCGCCAGTGTATACCGATAGCGTAGGCGGGGTTACCGTATCATTTACACCGTACAGAAGTCGATTGCTTGGGTACCTCTGTCCCGTTCGTGTTTCAACCGTGAAGCAGTCGTGTTTACATGGCTGTGTTTCAGTTTGAAGGGTGGGATATGGCGTGAATTTACTGGGTACAGAGGAATAACACCTGAGTCCTCAGGAATGGCAACGCATGGGTGGTATCATGGGCGAAACAGTATACTCTGTTATATTCATGGTACTGCTCATGTCTATAGGTGACGGTTACCACTTTCCATCAGGTGGGCCGTCAGCTTGATTGCCATTCTAAGTTGTTTAAAAAAAAAATAAAAAAAAACCGACGGAGTTATTATTACCTAATAACTCGTTTTTTTTTTATTTATTTTTTTAATGAACAAAAAATACAGGCGAATTGAAAACCTCCTTTATAAAGTCAGTTCCAAATTACGTACCTACAGACAGGCCGGATGTATTTATGCAATGCAATCTCTTGTCTTATTAGTCATAGTATTGAGTTATTATTTAAATATACTTATGGAGAATGACAACGCATGTATGATGCCGTGGGTGTCACAGTATACTTGACTGTATTATGTGAACTACTGAACAGGCTTATTTGTATTTTATTTATTTATTTAACACTTTATTGCACCAACGTAACAGGATTTTTTTTGATGGGTGAAAATGGTATGGTAACCTCGCCTGCGCTAACGGGATACGCTGGCGAAGCACCAGTGAAGCGTGATAGATGAGAATGAAAACAGGCCAGTTAGCCCATCATGATGAATTCATCAGGAATTAACCATGATAGTTTCCAGGGGGAACCGCGAGGAGGTCGACCTAGTTGGGTATACTGCTAGCAATGGGATTCTCAGTCTCCATTACTAACAATACTTTTCCCCCCAACGTAACAGGATTTGTTGAACAATTTTCAATACGTGTAGTGTAGTACAAAAGGCGGTCTTATTGCTAAGCAATCTCTTCCAGACAACCTTTGGGTACAAAGAATTAAAGCATAAATATGTAGGTGGCGCGTTAAAAAAATAAATCTGTAATTGCATAAAAAAAACTACAATCAAAGTGATTATTAATCACTCTAGAGGAAGTATCACTGTTCCGCAGTGGGATGGGGGAGGAATTGTTAGTAATGCGAACTGCTAGTCCCATTGCTAGTAAAATACCCTGTCAGGTCGACCTCCACATGGTCCCCTCTAGAAACCACCGTGTTGAATTCCAGGTGTATTCCGCACGATGGGCTAATTGACCAGCTCTTTTATCTTCATTTATCATCCCTCACAACATTGCAAGGATTGTTGGAAGATATCAAGGTCCTTACGTACATTGTTACATTTTTTACACATTCACTACGATGCCCATGGCCACTTTTTACCATCGTACGGCTCGCCATCGACAGGGAGTTCACCCTCATACCCTACAGCGTAAACGGTCGCGTACAACGCGGTTTCAGAGATGTTTTCTCCCACGAACACTCAGCTTATGGAATGAGCTCCCTGCCGAGGTTTTCCCAAGAGACTATAGCATGGGGTTCTTCAAAAGGGTGGTAAAGAAATTTCTTCAGGGTCGCCAACGCGCGCGTAATACCTCTGGTATTGGTAGGTAGGCGGTATGCTTGATTGCCACCTCAGTGGTATAAAAAAAACATGCGGATAATTGGATTTTTTTAATGGGTGATAGTGGAATGGTAACCCCGTCCGCGTTATCGGTATACACCGGCGGGGCACCAGTGGAAGATGATATGTGAGAATGAATGTAGGTCACTTGGCCCACCATGATGAATTCGACAACAATTAAACATGATGGTTTTTTAGGGGTAACCGCGTGGAGGCCGACCTAAGAGGGTATATTGCTAGCAATAGGGCTATTGTACAAAGTCTGCCTCTCTATTTATACATGCGAAACTGGGCCGGATCGCTACTAAAGGAAAAACCTAAAAAATAGTCAACAGATTTTGAAAATTATTTTACCTATAGAAAACTAGATTATCAACGAATAACATGGGGCTGTATTAGTATTTGATATATTAAGGGCAACTCCTGAGTGGATGTCTGAAGACGAAGATCTTTAACCAGCGCGTGTTGCCGAAATATGGTCCTACACGATTGACCGAATGCAAAAACAAGCTGAAATTATAATGGGCTGAACCAACAACTGATTGAGAAGAAAGGTTCTTGAGTGGCGATCCCTTACGGGCGAACGCAGTGTACGACAACCCCCACTAGATGGAGTGACAACCTCAAATACATTGCAGGGAGTCAATTGATGCAAGTGGCTCAAGACCGTTCCTTATGGCAGTCTATGAGGGAGGCCTATGTCCAGCAGTGGACAGATAATGGCTGAGATAGTGAATGACCGTTAATCCAGTGTAAACTTTATATAAAGTATTAAAACAAAATAAAACAAATTTTCAAATACACTGTTTTATTTAGAAAAAAAATCACTTGTTTTACTTCTTTCAAGAAGAAGTTGGAATTATATTTTCTTTCCTTTGACTCATATTTTAATTTACATTACTCAAATGTTTGTGTCAAATTTTAAAATAATTAAAATTAATTTTCTAACATTTATTGTATAAACAGGTATGTATTATATTTACGTCATATTTATAATATATATTAATATTTTATTTAAATATTTATTTGTAGCCTATGTATTGATTAGTACTGATTTTGTTCGTACAGTACTTGTGCGCTATAGCTACGACATGCTTTCCCACTGTATTAGGTTGACAGGAAAAGAAGTCCAACCTTGCACACATATTTATAAATGTATTTTATATAATTTACAAGTACAATAAAGAATACATATAAAAATAGACATGTTTCAAATTTTACCCGTGTTTTTTACAACTCGGAAATGGGCATTCAGTGTACTTTTGTCATGTCTATGGAGCCAACAACTTGTTTGAGGTCAGTTAGATTCTGTTTATCTCTATAATACAACGGCACAACGGTATAGAAATATGAGTTTCCAAAACCACAGATAAAATAATACTCTTAGATTATATAGATAGAGTGACTCCATACAGATGCTTAAAAAAAAGCGGGTCAACTTTTTCATGTTTGTGTACGCGGCAGTGTTACCAGATCAGAAATTATTACTTTAGATTAAGGTAAATAGGTGAAAGTCGTAACTTAAAATAGGTGAGTCGTAACTTAAAATAGAGTGTAAGTAACAGTAGTGTTAAATAATCCTTTACAATATTTAACTTTATTTATACATTTAATTATATTATTTATTTATTAAGAATAATGCGTAGATAAATAATAAGAATGCGATAGATGGAATTTCATAATTCCAAAGAATTATTTTATTATTTTTTAAAGCAATATTTTGATATAGCTTTTGAAGTAAAGGTTGAAAATCGGTATTTGTGGAGCCATGTATACTATTAATATGAACGGATAATGCCACTCAAAGTGACAGCCATTTTAAATACTTTTTACTATTTATCAAAATCTTTGTAGATTTATAACATGTATTTATGTTAAAATTAATCGAATCCATTTTAATTTAATGCAAATTTTTGGAAATACCTACTTATGGGAATGGAACAAAAATAATTAATTGTAATTAAGTTGACTAAATGTAAAAAATATTTAATTGTATTTTATCTTAAGTTCTTAATGCTATTTTGTTAATTCTTATCCAAATAAATACTTTTATTACTTTAAATACAAATAGAAGCCATTTTCATTAATTCTGACATCAAATCCATATTTAAAGTATATTCGGATTTTGACCATTTTGATTGATTCTGGTACCGGATCCATATTTGACATGTTTACGGATCCTCAGATATCGATTTTAATAGCAATCAGTCCAATAACAAAAATTAAAATTAAAATGGCAATAATTTTTATTAATTTATATTTAGATCCTCAGGTATGTATTTTGGAAACAATCAGTCAGATAACAAATAAAAGTGCCGACCATTTTGATTAATTATGATACTGGATCCATATTTGAAATTTGTACGGATTTTCAAATATCTATTTTAAAAGCAATCGGTCAAATAACAGAGAAAATAAAAATGCCGGCCATTTTGAGTGATTCTGGTACCGGATCCATATTTGAAATGTGTACGGATCCTCAGATATCGATTTTGAAAGCCGTCGCTCAAATAACAAACAAAAAAAACAAAAATGGCGGAAATTTTTATTAATTCTGATACCAGATTCATAATTGAAGGGATCCCCGGAAATCGATTTTGAAAGCAATCGGTCAAATAACAACGAAAATAAAAATGGAAGTCATTTTTATTAATTCTGATACCGAATCCATGTTTAAAGTATATACGGATCTTTAGATTTAGATTCTTTGGGGAAAATATATATAGTTAAATTTAAAATCTCCTTTTTGGTATTACTTGATATGATGACTGTTGTTATTAATGATTCAAGTAATTCGTAACAGTATACTTTAATATGAATAACATTAAATAGTATATATAATATTCAATAATATCTCTATGTACTATCTCCTATCTACATACCTACATAAATATTATAATATGTAAGAAAATAAAACAAAATACAAATAATAATTAAATTTTTGTTGAAAAAAGTCCACCTCATTTCGGATATTTTAATTTGAATTGTAGGGATTTTTTTTTCAGGTACTTGCAACACGAAAAACGGCGCGAAATCTTTAAGAAAAAAGTGATTATTATAACTGTATTTAAGCTTAAAATTGAAAATATTTACCGATTACAAGTGATTTGTTTATTAGTTCTATTTTTCGTCGTATAATTAACTCATTTTAATTAAATATAGACACGTCAGGATACGGTGAAAGTGTGAGAATATAGAGCACCAATAAAAAAAATAAAAGTCAGCTAATTTGACAATTAACTGACAGAAAGTTGATCCGTTTTTGAGGCTCGAGGCTCTATCTATATAATGTAATACTATACTAGGCAATAGTTTCTGAGTGTTTAATATCAACCAACTTATAAAAGGAAAGTTTATAATTCAATTGTCTTTTTTATGTTTGTTATCTCATAACTCCGTCATTTATAAATCAATTTGGAACATTATCGTTTATCTTGTCATCGGACATATCGTCATAGTCGTAGAATACTGACGGATCTGACGAATATTACATATATAGATCCGTCAGTATTCTACGACTATGACGATATTTTCAGATTGCCCCATTCTCTTTTATCGAAATCGCCTCTATAATTTAATTTTTAAATAAAATTAATTGATTTTGCGCGGATTGAAGTTTGTCTCTTTTCTCTGAAGAAGTGTGTTCTACACAGTCTTAAATTATTTGTCATTCCAAATGATAAAAAAGTGTTTTATGGTAAAATACCAACTCCAACGAGGCAGATTAGAAACTCGCAATAACTAAGCATACACATAACGAAATCAACTATTGTCAATGATTTCAAATTTGAAGTTGTTCTCGTTGAGACGTTGGATGAGGCTCGTGTTGCTGAACGCTAGGGCTGTCGTCATCACGCCGCCGCTGTGGACAAATATCAATAGACTTTTTAATAATTTAAAGTGGAACGGTAACCCCACTTTGGGAGGGGGGGGGGGGATTGTTAATAAATGAGTTAAACAACCTTATTGCTAGCAATATGGGCTTATCAGATAGACCTCCACGTGGTTCCCCATTTTTGTTGGAAACCATCGGGATTTGTTTTATGAATGATATTCAACGTTTCAACCGTGAAGCAGTTGTGTTTACATGGCTGTGTTTCGGTTTGAAGGGTGGGATATGGCGTCAATTTACTAGGTACAGAGGAATAACACCCGAGTCCTCAGAAATGGCAACGCATAAGGGGGTATCATGGGCGAAACGGTATACTCTGTTATGTCCATGGTACTGCTCATGACACGGTTACCACTTTCCATCAGATGGGCCGTCAGCTTGTTTGCTATTCTAGGTTGCATAAAAAAATAGATAATAAACGACATATGGAACAGTATTTGCAAAATATTTACAGAGAACAAGTTGAGATTCAGTATGAATTAAATATTTCAAATAAAAAGGTATAAAGAGATTTCTTCACAGTCGACAAAGCGTGCGTAATACTTCTGGTATTACAGGCGTTCATAGCCTACGGTAACCGTTTACATATATAGGTATAAACAAAGTAGTGCAAGTTTATTGGTTGCGTAATGATGCTGCGAAAACAGTGTTAAAAACATTATTTTATTTATCATTTTTATCACATGATTGCATTATAACTCATGTATAATAATGATAATGATAAGTCTTCGCGTGTCCGAGCAGATTTTGTAATACGCCATAATAAATATTTCAAAGGAATTTAATGTTATTTATAATAATCTAAAGTTCAGACTTACTTGTCATTACTGAATTGTCACACGCGAGCTGATAATGTATTTAGTAAAGATTTTGCGTTTTTTTCTTTTTCATGACGTGACCCCCTTATTGTGTAAAAATATCTTGCGACCCCCTACTCTCCACGGTTTCGAATGTGAATAAATTTTATCATAGTACAATTATGAAATCCGTACAGTTGTATTTTTTTTTTTATACAACTTAGAATGGCAAACAACCTGACGGCCTACCTGATGGAAACTGGTGACAGTCGCCTATAGACATGAGCAGTACCATGGACATAACAGAGTATACTGTTTTGCCCATGATACCCCCTATGCGTTGTTATTCCTGAAGACTCGGGTGTTATTCCTCTGTATCCTGTAAATTCACTGCTATATTCCACCCTTCAAACCGAAAAACAGCCATGTAAACATAACTGCTTCACGGTAGAAACACGAATGGGACAAAGGTGTCCAAGCAAACGACTTTTGTACAAAGTCTCCCTTTGGTCTCCATCTATGTTCTATATGTTGGTAACATTATAGCATTAGTAATGGGCATCTGTCACTATCAATTTTTACACTAAGAACAAGGAATTACATAGAAGGAATGATAAAATAAAAACTGTAAATCATATGGTTGCCTCCTTTCTTCTTATGCAAATATAATTAGTAAAAAGAGGACGAAAGATACACCATCAATTGCTATTTTTCTCAATTCATAGCAGGCCAGTGTATAAAAAATGTTTGATATGTAACAAATATTTGTCAATAACAAATTTTACATTACTAGATTATATATTCAATACAGTTTATGTAGACAGTATGCGAGCAGGTTGTATCTGAATTTGGTAGGGTTATACGGCCGTATAACATTTTCTATACACTAGCCTGCTATGAATCGACAATTTTATCACTCCTATGACAATTTTATCATTCCTTGTTTATAGGCCAAACCAAAAACTGCTGCTTGAAAGTTGGATAGAGTACTCACGTGCCGGGCATCTTGTCCTGTTCCCGCAGCATGGTGAGGCCGCAGTGTATAAGGGCCACCACTGTGGCACCGTACCCGGGGTTCAAGCCCGACACCTGCCGGACGTTCATGTAATGTAAATTGGACTCTCTTTCCTTCGTTTAGCATCTCGTTCCGACCGTTAGCGTTCCGGGGATTTCTAAACGTTGATGGGCCACAGCATACATATATATATATATATATATATATGTGTGTCACGTCTGTCTCCCATTGCAAAAATTGCCACTTTCTACAAACTAAAGAATAAACAATTAAACTAAAAATAAAATACCAATAGTATCTCACCCTCGCTTTTAATGTCTTATTGGGTGGTGCAGACTCAATATCAGCCCCTTTCTCCCATCCCCTGCCGACCAGCTCGAATTTGAAGTGCATATTGTTCATAACTTGCTCCTTAGGGCCTTTCCTGCTGACCATTCCTAGTGTGAAGAGCCGTGGATGTGTCAATAAAAGTTGCGTAGTAAACTTGGCCTTTGTCATTAGAATTAACATCATCTGAGCGAATGCCAGCAACAGCGTAAACAGGAAATTTGAAAATTTGAAGTAAGCCTGTAAAAATAATAAAGAAAAAAAATATGGGGTATGTAGGCCAAACATCTGATGGCGTGAATTTACAGGGTACAAAGAACTTACCCGAAACTGTACTGGGCGGTGACCATCGCGGTAAAGTTCACGCTGCGTACGGTTCACCACCGAGTGGTCAGCGGAGACAGTGAACGGTATGCAGTACCGTCCGTCCCGCTTGTGTATCGCGCCCCTTCACACACAAAATCATATTATTAAATATTCGCTGCGTCCACGACTTCTTTCGTGTCTACTTTAATCTGTAACTTCTGGACATAATTCATTTTGTACAGGATTTTTTACACTATTACTTTTAAGCCAAACACATTACGTTTTTTTTATTGCGACGGAGGTGAAATGGCAGACGGTTCACCTGATGGGAAGCGGCTACCGTCACCTATGAATACAAACTTAAAAGGCCGGAGACCATAAGCAACACGAGAGTACCAGAGAGATAGATAAATAGACAGATACTCTTTATTGTTTCCTCTAAAAGATTACAATAGTAAACTTATTATAAATATAAACAATTACAAGAAATATTCACAATAAGAAAACAATGGGCGACCTTATCGCTAAGAGCGATCTCTTCCAGGCTCTTTATTGAGAGATACCTCTTTACCAGAGGGATACTTTGTACAAAAGTCGTTTGCTTAAACACCTCTGTTCCATTCGTGTTTCAACCGTGAAGCTGTTGTGTTTGCATGGCTGTGTTTCGGCTTGAAGGGTGGGATATGGCAATGAATTTACAAGGTACAGAGGAATAGCACCTGAGTCCTCAAGAATGACTACGCATGGGAGGTATCATGGGCGAAACAGTATACTCTGTTATGTCCATGGTACCGCTCATGTCTATAGGCGACTTTCCATCAGGTGGGCCGTCAATTTGTTTGCCGTTCTAAGTTGTATAAAAAAAGAGTAGTTGCTTGTATATTGCCGACCTTTTATATAGTAAGGTATTATTATTAATATTACCTGCTTTTCAATTTGGGTTTGTATTCAGGCATTGTATCTGGATACAATTTATTGCGAAGAGTTGCCAGCTCGTGTCTATTAGTCTGTCTGTAATAGAAAATAGTATAGTTAAACCCCATTATAACCGTGTGGTCTCGGCGTAGGATAGCCCACCCATACCTTTCCAGTGGGTGTCGTAAGAGGCGACTAAAGGATCTTCATAGTCAAGGGAACGACAGCAACGTCCCTCTTAAAATATCACCAAAGGCTAACTGCGGTTGCTAATCCGCTTACCAAGCTTGGCAACTACTAGCAAAACCCCCCAAATAGTGAGGCCTATGATAAGTAAATTATAGTAATTAAACCAAGAATTGAATAACTTATACGCAAAAAGAATGGATAATTTCTAATTTGCGAAAAATTATAAATTTTTTAATGACTAGCGGCCCGTCCGCGTCGCACGGATGGACATTTTTACATTTTAAAAAGTGGCCATTAAGGCTGCATACGCGACGGAAGCTTAAAAATGGAGTAACTTCTCCCGTTTTCCAAACATTTCCCTTCACTGCTCTGCTCCTATTGATCGTAGCGTGATGAAAAGTATACTATAACCTGTCCAGGAGTATAAAGAATAATTGTACCAAGTTTCGTTAAAATCCGTCGAGTAGTTTTCGTTTCTATAACAAACATACAGACAGACAGACAACAATTTTACCGATTGCATTTTGGCATCAGTATTGATCACTAATCGCCCCCTGATAGTTATTTTGGAAATGTATTTCATGTACAGAATTGACCTCTCTACAGATTTATTATAAGTATAGATATGTAGATGACCATTTCAGAGTTACATTGATTTGTCATTACTGATTTTTTTTTTCTAATTCTTAAAATAACAAACATACATGTTTTATTTAAGACTGAAAATGAAACCTGTAATTTCATATTGAGCAAGTTTTTTTTTATAAATAGTGTTTTGTTTTGTTAAAGGTGTTTCTATCACCGGAGGATTTGTTGGCAATTCAAATGATACATTTCTTGTTCCTTACATATTGACTATCGACTCCCAAGTTCCGAAGTTGACGATGCCACTCCTTACTGCTTCCAAATTCAATTCTGATGGTAAACTGACACTGACGTAAGACTCTACAGAGTTCAGGACTCCTGTGCATAGAAATATAACTCTGCATTAGACATGGATTAAAAAGTTAACCTACTACAAATAATTACATCATGCAGTGATAGTAACCGAGTAAAAATTAGATGGAGACTTTGTACAAAAGTCGATTGCTTGGGCACCTCTTTCTCATTCGTGTTTCAACCGTAAAGCGTGTTTGCATGGCTGTGTTTCGGTTTGAAGGGTGGGATATGGCGTGAATTTACAGGGTACAAAAGAATAACACCTGAATCCCTAAGGAATGGCAACGCATTAGGGGTATCATGGGCGAAACAGTGTACTCTGTTATGTGCATGGTACTGCTCATGTCTATAGGCGACGGTTACCACTTTCCATCAGGTGGGTCGTCAGCTTGTTTGCCATTCTAAGATCTATAAAAAAAAATCTGATCCATAAAAAACCGTCTTTAATTATGATAAAATCAGAAAGAAATATTATTTATTTATAGGATTACCAACAATTACTTAATAAATTAATTAGATACAGCTAAACATTTCAATACAATACACTGGTAGATTAGATCTAACTGTTCTTACATTTATGGGCAACCACACCATGCTTTGTGTTTGATAAATATTAAAATTGAATTAAATGTCATTAAATTAATAAAAATATTTTTAATATAAGTCAACGATGGAAATTGTGATTAAATTATTTTAAATTATAAATAAATATAATGCAATGGCGAGGTACATCAACATTTTAATTTAGCCATGAACACAGAGTGACTACATACATACATACATATCTGTCACGCCTGTCTCCCATTAGGGTAGGCAGAAACAATGGAACGCCAAATGCTTCGATTCAAACAAACCTCTTTCGCTTCTTCCACATTCATCAATCTTGTCATACACGCTCGTCGGTTACGGGTACTTTTAATTTGGCCCTTCTTCAGCACGTCGCCTATTTGGTCGACATACGTCCGTCTCGGGCGGCCCCTACCGACATCTCCATTCATTCTTGCTCGATAAATCTCTTTCGTAATTCTTCTTTTATCCATCCTCTCCAAATGACCAGAGTGACTATCGTTATAAATATTAAGTTCAGGCTTAGTTTTTACAATATCGTTATACAGACGCGTTATGCGGACGATAGGTGATTTTGATAAATTTTCTACAGGAGCAATCTGTAAATATACATACTTATTTATTAGAATAGAATAGAATAGAATAGAATTTTATTGCTAACTGTGTACATACATATAGCAGTAACTATTGCTTTGAATTTGACATCAGTATCAACAGTTATACCCTATCGGGCATGCAACAATTTAAGAACAGGTAATTATATTAACATCGAAACATTCAATACTATTACCATTACTTGATTATTTCCATTCAGATAAAAAAATATCCAAATATTTTTTAATGGATGACATTGAAATGGTAACCCCCACTATGCTATCGATATACGCTAGCGAGGCACCAGTGAGGGATGATAAGTAACAATAAAATAGCAGGTCACTTGGCCCATCGTGACGTATACACCTGGAATTCAGCACGATGGTTTCCAGGGGGATCACATGGAGGTCGACCTGACAGGGTATACTGCTAGTAATGGGTCGTTTAGACCCCATTACTAACAATCCCTTCCTCCAATCGAAATCAGTTTAGAACTGACGGAGTTATGAGATACGAAACATTAATAAAAAAATACAATCGCATTAAAAACCTCGGAGAAAACGAACCAAAACCAGCAGTAATAGAGAGCATTCCCAAAACCCTAGCGAAGCTTTATGAAGATATGTTTAAAAGTACAAAGGAAAATAATTTCATTTATGCCAATGATAGTGGGGATCCGACCTTATAATGTTAATAAAGAAGTAATTATTTAGTACCGTCAAAGTGCTGCTTCAGGAACTCGACTCCCATATCGTTGGGGATGCAGTCGAAGCCGCAGGTCGTAACTATGTATATCCCCGCCGCACGAGCCTGCTCGTCGTATAATAATTGCATCTTCTCCGCAAACTGTAATATACATAACATTAGCTTTAATTTATGAAGAATTCATTTTGAAATAAAATATTTATATATTATGAATGAAGTGGTATAAATATAGAATTTGTATCCTTTGGGTGCAAAATTTACGTGTAAAGTTTTTATTATTACGAGGTGTTTAACATGAGTATTTTATCTATCATACCGTCATCGTGGCAGTAACTAAGAGGGAGGGGCATTGAAGGTTAATGCACTACCTTAAAAGGCCCAATGCCCAACTAAATGATACCTCATGAGAGGTCCCAAGAAAATTAGATTCACAAATCACACACACGCACACGCACGCGCACGCGTACGCGCGCGCACGCACGCACGCACGCACGCCCGCTTTCTGTAGTAGGTATATTTAGTATCAGTATAGCACCCGAAGCTGGGGCGGGTCGCTAGTAAAATATATATCGCAGTAAATATAGCAAAAATAATAAAAAAACAGTGGCTTAGTAAATTGGAATGTGATAAGCCAGTATCACCTGACGCCGCTATAATACCGAATTAATATATCAGTCACGTAATACGTGGTCGTGGGCAGGTGGATAGGAATTATTTACACGTTTTTACTGATGCGTCACAGAGTTCGTATGGAGCGTTCAATTCTATCACAGACATAATAATGAAGCAGGCTAGCATGAGGGACTAGGAAACTCGCCAAAACTCACACATCTACACGCACACTCACACTAATACAAATGCAGGGACGAAGTTAGGGTACATGTATGTACATTACACTAATAAGCAAATTTCTTTGGCGGGGCACCAGTGAGTGATGATAGGTGAGAATGAAAAGTCAGGTCAGTTAGCCTATTGTGATGAATATACCAGAGGGATACTTTGTACAAAAGTCGATTGCTTGGGTATCTCTGTCCCATTCGTGTTTCTACCGTGAAGCAGTTGTTTGCATGGCTGTGTTTCGGTTTGAAGGGTGGGATATGGCGTGAATTTACTGGGTACAGAGGAATAACACCTGAGTCCTCAGGAATGGCAACGCATGGGAGGTATCATGGGCGAAACAGTATACTCTGTTATGTCCATGGTACTGCTCACGTTTTTCACTCATGCTTACACATGCATACTGTAAGGCTCACCCAGTGGATGTAATAAATAAATAAATAAATTATGAGTATAAAATTATGAGTATATATAGTATGTATGTATATATATATATATATATATATATATATATATATATATATATATATATATATATATATATATATATATATATAAATCATAATCATGAAATTACTAATCAATATCAGTTTAGCCACAATATATATGTACTTTTCGAAGAAAAATCTATTTGAAGTTATTTACCTGAGGTTCTGCAGTAATATCCACATAATTGCTCTTCGCCTGGATGGCGGCCCGTACCACCGGCTCACCATAAAATTGATAAGGTCCGCAGCAGTTCACCAGTATTTTGGTCTGCGCGCACATCGCCTTCAATGATGGCTCATCCTTAACATCAGCCACTATGATCCTCACGTTCGACAGGTCACGACCTATTTGAAAATAGAAGGACAGATAAAAATACTACTGTTCGGCTCGGATCTTTTTTAACAGGTGATGATAGTTACTCCGCCTACACCATCGGTTTATGTTGAAATTGATAGAAATTAACTTCTAATGGTATTTCTCATTTATTTATTAATTAGAATAAAATATTAAATAATAGTGAATATAATGAACACATACTATCTTTTTTATCTATATCCAGAGGGAGACATTGTACAAAAGTCGATTGCTTGGGTACCTCTGTCCCATTCGTGTTTCAACCGTGAAGCAGTTGTGTTTGCATGGCTGTATTTCGGTTTGAAGGGTGGCAAGCAGTTGTGTTTGCATGGCTGTGTTTCGGTTTGAAGGGTGGCGATATGGCGTGAATTTACAGAGTACAGAGGACTAACACCTGAGTCCTCAGAAATGGCAACGCATGGGGGGGTATCATGGGCGAAACAGTATACTCTGTTATGTCCATGGTACTGCTCATGTCTATAGGCGACGGTTACCACTTTCCACCATTCTAAGTTGTATAAAAAAATCTATCTATCTATCTATATGTGACTGTGACCAGAACCTTTTTCGAGGTCTGGATCCCTCTGTATCTTACTCCACATGATTGGTAAAGCGTGAGGGTTACGGTGACCGTCACAGGTATTCTGTAACGTTCACGTCTATAAACGAACGCTGCAAATTATTATGCGTTTTGTAATAAGGTAATTACTCTTTCCGTGTTGCATAAAAAATTTTGCGTGCTATAAGTATGTACTAATTGTGTTAGCAAATACTTCCCGACTGCACAGAAGGCGTGGGTAATTTATATATTACTATCTATATATTTTAATTATAGTATCTATATAACGAATATATTAAAAGAGGGAGACTTTGTACAAAAGTCGATTGCTTGGGTACCTCTGTCCCATTCGTGTTTCAACCTAAAGCAGTTGTGTTTGCATGGCTGTGTTTCGGTTTGAAGGGTGGGATATGGCGTGAATTTACTGGGTACAGAGGAATAACACCTGAGTTCTTAGGAATGGCAACGCATGGGGTATCATGGGGGAAACAGTATACTCTGTTATGTCCATGGTACTGCTCATGTCTATAGGCGACGGTTACCACTTTCCATCAGGTGGGCCGTCAGCTTGTTTGCCATTCTAAGTTGTATAAAAAAAATTAAAAGTCCGGTTTCCAAAAAATAATATTGGATTGGTCTTTTAATATATTCAATAATAAATATCCGACTAGTATGGGCGATATCGAAATTAGTGATGGCCTTTTTTCCACCATCAATGTCCAGAGAAACCCAATATAAAGATATTGGATCGGTATGCATATTGCCCAAAATTCCCAAAGAGAGTTGACGTCAGGCAGGTGGCCGGTCGTAAAACTAAAAGCCAAATCTTAACGTGAAAAGCCGTGAAAACAGTAAAAGAAAGAAAAGTTATTATAGTTCATAGTGTGTTGATCCAGAGGCTGATATGCAAAATATTTATAACTAGCTTTTACCCGCAACTTCGTTTGCATGAGCGGGATAAAAAGTAGCTATACCCTTCTCCCACCCCATACAGTACGTGTATACCAAATTCTATATCGGTTAGTTAAGAAGTTAAGATTCTATAAGGTTTATTTTTATATGCAACTTAGAATGGCAGATAAGCTGACGGCCCGCCTGATGGAAACTTAATAACGGTCATCTATAAACATGAACAATACCATAGACATAACGGAATAGAATAGAAGATAAAGATATATTTTTTATACAACTTAGAATGGCAAACAAGCTGACGGCCCACCTGATGGTAAGTGGTAACTGTCGCCTATAGACATGAGCAGTAGCATGGACATAACAGAGTATACTGTTACGCCCATGATACCCCCAATGCGTTGCCATTCCTGAGGACTCAGGTGTTATTCCTCTGTTATTCCTGTGTAGGTAACAAATAAACTCGCTTTAATAATAGATTTATATACACTATTTATATAAGACACTAAACATTGTCAAATAATTGGTTACCAATTATTACTGTTAACATCAATGAACTAGACCTCATGCCATTACAGAAAATTGCGTTTATGGTGTTATTATGTTGGCACGACGCCATTAAATACCTTTAACATAAATTAAGACTAGTACATGCGCACCTTGGACATAACAAGTTCACCTTGCCGTGGTATAGTTAGTCGTATTAAGAACTAATTACATCTCAACTAGCTTTTGACCACGGTATCGCTTGCATGTGGTATTCGGTTTTCAAAAATGAATTAATTTACTTCTTGGTAAAAAACTATAAATTTAAAATTTCGTCTTCTTTCGACTTAAAATTAGCAAACTTTAATACAAATTTTCATCGAATTCAAATTATTTCCTATCTCGCTCTTTTATAGGTACATCATCATACGAACCGGTAACTATCCATACATATGATGTATATCCTGAACATAACCTTTCCCCTCTGTATAAAAAAAGTTAACCCACTTTTCTCGAAACATTTGTATGGTGACACTCTATCTATATAATCTAAGCTATAGACATACGACACGTAAATGTCAACACACGAGGGGTTACTGTGAACATCACCATGTATTCTGTAATGTTCTATATACTCGTATAGGAGACTTCCATGCAAACATCGTCTGCCTCCATACAAACATAGCCTGAAGTTAGGCTACACGCGTCCGTGTAGCCTAACTTCAGGCTGTAGCTGAAAATCAGTGCTTTGCTTTTAAGCAAAACCATCACTGAGCTGTAGCCTGTTTGGGTCACTGCGACACACATGGTAAAAACATATTTCCATACTTTATCTTTTGTTTTATATTTAAAAAAATGTAAATAATCTGATTGTATAAACTCATTTGTTAATTTACGTGTGTCATAAATAGCTCAAATAAAGTATCTATCTCAAACACATTGGGCCACATTACCTGTTAACTTGGTGAGTTCTTTAATCAGCGCCTCGAGTTTATCTCTCGAGCGACCGGCCACCCCCCACAAGAGGTCATCGTAGTACTTTCCACCACGGACCACCTCCTCCGCGGCCTTCCTGCCTGTGAAGCCCGTCGCACCAAAGATAACCAGGTCCAATCGTAACATCTGAAAACAGACAATTTTTAGTTTTTTTTTTTAGCGTGAACGCCTCTTGTATGTTTTTTTTATTATTATTCATTTTGCATCTGGCAACTACAACTATTTTATGTAATTTATAATGTGTAGTTTGTATTATTCTTTGTGTATACATATCTTATGTGTTTATACAATATATATCATATAGATCATATGACTGCCTAATTTTATTTTTAAAATAACACAATTAACATGGAAAGGTTTTGCTGGAAGAAATCTCTTATTATAGATAAGCTCGCATATTTGTACATTATGTTTATAATGAATTGTGATTAACGTTATGTTTTTGTGTACAATAAAGAAATAAAGAAAAAATACAAAATAAATTGAAACACCGTATTTGATTTATAAAAACATTTGAAACTAATATTTCTTTTAACCCGCGCTTGTACTTACCTCACCTGATGTAAAGTGGCTGCGAGATCTAGGTGAAATATTTTTACGCGGAAGACAACAAAATACAATTTCTATGAGACATTGAAAGGTTGACTGGAAATAACCCCTTTTATAGAATAAATTCACCAGTGTACTCATTATTTTCGTATCTGTATGTACAAGTAATTTAATACTTTTCTATCCAATAAAATGTTTCAACAACAAAACAAACAACTTCGCTATCACAGTGACATAAAGAGTTCAAGATTATTTTATTCGAGGGTAGTAGTAGAGTATAAAAAGAAATAAAAAAAAAAAAGAAAAAAATAAACAAATTCAGAAACGTAAAAACGCGGGAAAGGAAAAAAATGATATTACTTTTTTAATTTGCTTTTTTTATATGTATACTTCCATCCCTTTTTTTTGCGTATGTCTGTTATTATTTATGTGCTGGTTAGGTATTACCCTCTTGTTAAAAATGTACCGCATCAGATCTACCTCCATACAATTCCCCCTGAAACCTACCGTGGTCAATAATTGTTTAATTCGTCACGATGGCCCAACTGACGTAAAGGCCTACCATAAAATGAAATTTCAGGATCGAACAAAGAATAAAATTGATGTTAAAATTGCATAATATGTAGGTACCCTAAGTATATACCATTTAAAAACAATAGTGTCGCTCCTTTAGACTATTAATGTTAGGTACTTATTTAAATACGTGACTCAGAGAAAGGATATAAGTAATTACCTATATTTGGTGTTCAATTAATTCAATAATTTAATTTAATTTTAAAAATATTCAGTAACATGCTTTCTAACTGCATTGGGTTGACTGGAAGAGATCTCTGTCAGAGATAAGTCCACCCTTGCTCACAACATTTATAAATGCATTAACAACGTAATTTACAAGTGCAATATAGAATATATAATAAATTTTTGATTAACAAAGGTGAACTTAGTTACAATTTTATTAATTATGTAAAGAAAAAACAATAATAAATACCTTTTAAATCGGCCGCGATTAATTCACCTTTTTAAAGAGCATAATCTAGTTTTACATATCGTAGATGTCGTGTTTTATTTTAAAATATGTTTCATAAACAACGGGAATTAACGCGATAAGGTAAACTACGATAATTTGCCGGAGTTATGTCGACGCTTCGACCAGGTTATATCGGCCGTGGTCACGAAGAGACTGCCACTGACAGTGTCTGGTGTCATGCGGCGGAAGCGAAGGCTTTATATCATTATACTTACATAGTTTATGTATTAGTTATCATAGTTTATCTAAATGTAGATTAATTTCGGGGTTTTTTTGCAATATGCTACCTATAATAGGTATTGTTATAAAATACAAAATACTTATAGGCATCGAAGAAAACTAATACGACATCATAACCTTCAAGAAAAGAGCATATTCCTTTTTAAAAGGCCGCAATGCCGCTGGTGTTGTGGGTGATCATGGGCGGCGGTAGTCACTTACCATCAGGTGAGCCGCACGTTCACCCGTTTTTTTTTTAATAGATGATAATGGAATGGTAACCCCACCCGCGCTATCAGTATACACCGGCGGGGCACCAGTGAAGGATGATACGTGAGAATGAAGCGGGTCAGTTAGCCCATCGTGACGAATTCAGCAAGAATTGTTCACGATGGTTTCCAGGGGGAACCAAGTGGAGGTCGACCTGATAGGGTATATTGCTATTAATGGGGCTGTCAAACTCCATTACGTGTTGTAAAAAAAAAGTTTACTGCAACGACGATTTATCGAATTTGCGTAAAATTCCAGCCGCATTTCTAAATAATTGCATATCAGTGCAACATTAATATGCATTATAAACGACGCATCGCTATCTTATGACGCCGCAATTGCTGCGACTGACCTTATTCTAAGGTTATTGACCGGTCACGGTAAAATGCCTACCTTAATAAAAGTTATTGTTTTTTTTTTTTATATAATAAATTACAATATATATATTTTATTGCACTAAAACATACAGTAACAACAATAAGTTAATAACAATGTTAGCAAAGGCGAATTTATCTCTAAAAGAGATCTCTTCCAGTCAACCTAACACAGTGGCATAGGAAGTAATGAGTGGGCAGTAGTAGTGCAAAGCAGAAATTAAAATAAATATTTACATAAAAAATAAATAATATATATATATATATATATATATATATATATATATATTCAAATTCAAATTCAAAAATCATTTATTCATGTAGGACATTTTAGCCGCTTATGAACGTCAAATTTTTACATTATAATTTTATATTTTCCCTACCGTCCAGTTCGGTATATAGATCCAATTGAGAAGAACTGGCAAGAAACTCAATTGAATTACTTTTTTTTTTAAAGCCAGTTTATTTACAATGTATATTTATATAGGTGTCTATGTCTAACATTAAATGAAAATTCAGTGCATGAACAACTATTGCCATGCACACTCGTCATTCAAGTAATCGTTTAGTGAGTAATAGGCTTTGCTCAGTAAATATGATTTAACAGATGTTTTGAATTTATTTAAGGGTAATTCCAACATATCCTTTGGTATCTTATTGTAAATTTTTATACCTATTCCCATAAAAGACCTATTAACTTTTTCTAAACGATACTTGGGGACAGCAAGTTTGTCTTTAAATCTAGTATTAATATTATGAATATTGCTGTTTTTTGGAAATAAGTCAAGATTTTTATGAACATATAGAATATTTGAATATATAAATTGAGAAGCAACGGTGAGAATATTTGCCTCTTTGAATTTCTCTCTTAATGAGTCACGACTCTTCATACAGTAGATCGCTCGAACGGCACGTTTTTGTAATATGAATATATTCTTAATATCTGCCGCTTTTCCCCATAGTAATATTCCATAAGAGAGTAAACTATGAAAATAACTAAAATAGACTAATCTAGCAGTATCAGTATCAGTGTACTGTCTAACTTTACGCACGGCAAAAGCTGCTGAACTTAGTTTCGCTGCAAGGCTTTGAATTTGTGCACCCCATTGTGTTTTATTATCTAGTGTGATTCCTAGAAAGACAGTAGATTCTATAAATTCGAGAGATTCGTCATTTAATTTAATATTGCAATTAATATTAAAACTTTTAGATAGAGAGAAATTAACACATTTTGTTTTTTTAGCGTTTAACATAAGATTGTTAGTTGTAAACCAGTGCAGGAGACGCCGCAAAGCACTATTTACATCGTCATAATTATTAGTCATTCTATTAACTTTAAAAATCAATGAAGTATCGTCTGCAAACAATACTATGCCGCATCTATCCTGCATGGCATATGGGAGATCATTAATGTAAACTAGGAATAAAAATGGACCGAGAATAGATCCTTGAGGTACACCCATTTGCACAAGTGACCCGTCAGACGTAGCGTTGCTAATCTTCACTTTCTGTATTCTATCAGATAGATAAGATTTTATTAAATTTAAAGCATTGTCTTTGACGCCATAAAAAGCAAGTTTTTTTAGCAATGTATTATGATCAACGCAATCAAAAGCCTTAGAAAGGTCACAAAAAACACCTATCACATCCATTTTAGTTTATATATATATATACATATATATATATATACATGTATATATACACATACACACACTCATACACACACACATATATACACACGTACATGCATATATAGATATGTTAAATACAACATATAAATATCAAATAAAAGAGAGCACAATGATGACAGTCTTCTAATAATCTTTTATATTTAAACAAAATTGAAAAGATAGAATGATTTTAATCTTTTTTTGAAGGAACTGCTAGACGGGCTATTCTGAATACTCACTGAAAGTTTATTCCATACAATCAGACCAATCATCTGGTCCTCGAGCTACGATGTTCTGTCATCCATTGTTAGTCTCATTTAATCTATACTTATAATAAATCTGTAGAGAGTTTAATTCTGTACATGAAATATATTTCCAAAATAACTATCAGGGAATGATTAGTGATCGATACTGATGCCAAACATGCAATCAGTAAAATTTTTGTCTGTCTATCTGTATGTATGTTCATTATAGAAACAAAAACTACTCGACGGATTTTAACGAAACTTGGTACAATTATTCTTCATACTCCTGAGCTGGTTATAGTATACTTTTCATCACGCTACAATCAATAGGAGCAGAGCAGTGAAGGGAAATGTTGGGAAAACGGGAGAAGTTACTCCATTTTAAAGCTTCCATCGCGTGTGCCAGCCTTAATAGCCACTTTTTAAAATATAAAAATGTCCACCCGTGCGACGCCGGGACGGGCCGCTAGTATATAATTATAATAGAAATAAAAATGTCTAATATTGATAAATGTCGCTATACAAATTGATAAACAATTTATACATAATAATTTATAACAAAATTGTATTGCTCAGTCTGCTATCAGAGGATTCTCGGATACTTCGGTCATATTGCTCGTGGACAGTCGAACAATCTGGACAACCTGATGGTTTTAGGTCACGAGTGCAGCCTTAATGGCCACTTTTTAAAATGTAAAAATGTCCACCCGTGCGACGGCGGGGCGGGCCGCTAGTAATACATATAAATAGAACGGTGAAATTATCTTATACAGAATAATTTGAAAAGATTATTTGTAGAATTTCTCGCGGGTTCTTCTAAGCAGATAATAACATTCCGGACCCAATAGTAGTATCATAAAAAATGACGATTTATAAGAACTTTTAAGAAGACCAATAAAGATTATTTCTAGAACAGTCTATTGTCCTCAAATTTAAGCTAAAATAATCTTTCTTTTATGTATATATTTTTCAAATAGACTTGTTTACACGCGCTTTTAAATCCGTCAATTTTTATAATTCTACTGCAGGGTTCGGATTGTTTTTTTTTTATTTGTTCATCTACTTGGGTCCTAATGGCGTCTAACAATTACATTGCTAGCAATATTCTTTCAGGTCGACGTCCACCCGATGCCCCCTGAGAACCATCGTAGTAAATTCCTAGGGAATTTATCATGATAGATTAACTAACCTGCTTGGTGAGAAAAGGATTGTTAGTAATGGGGTCAAATAATAAAATAGCCCCATTACTAGCAATATACCCTGTCAGAACGACCTCCACGTGGTTTCCCCTGGAAACCATCGTGGTTAATTCTAGTTAAAATCGTCAGGATGGGCTAGCTGACCTATTTTCATCCACACCTATCACCTCCTACTGGTGCTGGATTACCATATTATTATCATAAAAAAAAATTTGTCATATTGCTAACAATGAACCCTTTATTAGGCCGACCTCCACGCAGTTCCTCCTGGAAACTATCGTGATTAATTGTTGTTCAATTTGTCACGATGGGCCAACTGGCTCGACTTCATCCTCACCCACTGGCCCCACGAAAGCGTATACCGATGAAGCAGGCACGATACCCTTTTCACTATGATCCAAAAAAAAAATCCCCCTCAGCTAAACTATGTTAAAAATTTGCATGGTGAAAGACTTACGCCATCTTTTATTACAATTACGCAAACGAAGTTGTGGATACAACTATTGTTTTCTTTTTATACAACTTAGAATGGCAAACAAGCTGACGGCTCTCCTGATGGAAAGTGATAACCGTCGCCTATAGATATCAGCAGTACCATGGACATAACAGAGTATACCGTTTCGCCCATGATACCCCCCATGCGTTGCCATTCCCGAGGACTCAGACGTTATTCCTCTGTACCCTGTAAATTCACTGCCGTATCCCACCCTTCAAACCGAAACACAGCCATGCAAACACAACTGCTTCACGGTAGAAACACGAATGGGTCAGAGGTACCCAAGCAATCGACTTTTGTACAAAGTTTCCCTGTGGTGTCTTAACAGCTCAGACATAATAAAACAAGCAATGAAATCAAATGTTTAATATTAAAAAAAAAAATACATTTAAATCTTCCAACTTTTTAAAATAAATAGCAGATCTTGTGTTACTATTAGGCTTTGGAATATAAAAATAACAAAATTATATCTTATCAATTACATGCAACTATTAATAATAAAGTTATAAAAATAAATGCTTACAATTAGTTTATAATGAACAAGAATATAATGTAAGTACATCCTTAGAAGTTGGATAGCCGGCCCCGAGGCGAGTGGTAAACGAATCTATCCATCGAATCGATATCGTTGGCGAGTCAACGTAAGAGAATGAGATAGCGACATCTAGTATTTCCTTCTCTAAAACAATTCTATCGACATTGATTGTTATTTTCTCATGGGAGTTAGTTATTTTCGAATTATCTATATATCTATCCATCATTCCGTTACGGGGTAGACAGGTCTGAAAACTAAAACCGTTCATAAATTTCATGGTTTATCCATTTCTATAATTCATATTATGCTGGTTTTCAAACTTCTTGGATATATAACTCGAAAACAACTGTACAAGAATCATAAACAATATTTTGATTATTGTATTAATTAGTAACTTAAATAAATTAAAAATTACCAAGAGAGAACATTATCAAATAAAAGAGTTTTTTTATACCACTGAGGTGGCAAACTAACATACGGCCCACCTGATGGTAAGCGGTTACCGTAGCCTGTGAACGTCTGCAATACCAGAGGTATTACGCGCGCGTTGCCGACCCTGAAGAAACCTCTTCATCCCCCTTTTGAAGAATTCCATGCTGTAGTCTCTTGAGAAAACCTCGGCAGGGAGTTCATTCCACAACCTGAGTGTTCGTGGGAGAAAACATCTCTGAAACCGCATTGTACGCGACCATTTGGGCTGTAAGGTACGATAGTGAACTCCCTGTCGATGGCGAGCTTTGTAGACATATCTCAATTCAAATTGTCGGACACTTTATTGATTCTAACTTAATCAGAATACTTATACATTAAATTCCATGAAAAAAAAAATGCTAATTAAAAATATCACTTCTAAAAAGAGACGGACAGACAGAAATGCGAAACTATAATAGTTCCGTGTTTATTTCAATACGGAACATTAAAGTCTTCTAACCATGTTATTAACACATAATCATTGTTTTATTCACAATAGTCGTTTTAAAATAAATAGCAGATCGTGTTACTGTTAGGCTTTGGTGATATAAAAATAACAAAATTATATCTTATCAATTACATGCAACTATTAATAATAAAGTTATAAAAATAAATGCTTACAATTAATTTCTGTTGAACAAGAACGAAAATAAACGAGGTCTGTTTGAATCGAAGCATTTGGCGTTCCATTGTTTCTGCCAACCCTAATGGGAGATAGGCGTGACAGATATGTATGTATGGTATTCGTATTAAATTGTGAAAAAAATAAAAATTTGTAAAATTATAAAATAAAGATGTAGAATTCCTAATATAATATTTTAAATGCAAGATTTTAATCACACATGTTTCAAAAGGAAAAAAAAAATGCGTAATAAATGCTATTTTTCGTGCTACATATATCCGTCCAGTCGGGGTGCTAACATCGTCCCCTAATGGCGAGATATTCATGTCCAACAGTGGGACTAATTGGTTATATATTATATGTAAGAAACTCTCAAGAGAATATAACTGCCTTTTATTATTTTATATTGCTTACATAGTCAAAGCTCAGTATATTTCTTAATGTATTTTAAAATATTAATTGTGAAATATTATGGCAGTTTGATTGTGAGACATGCAATACATTAGAACTTGTATCCTTGGATATTGTTATACCCAATTTGTAAAACTAAATGCAATTCTCCGCAACACAATGGCGGGAGATTTTAAAATAAGAAGCAGTTTTACATTACAGCGATACAATTTATAATTTTTATTATTTCTTTTTTTTTTTAATCTATGTTAGTTTTTTTTTTATATATATATTTATACATAACTGGACAAAAGTTCTGAATGAAGTAAGACACGACAAATATAGTTAAGTTCATTAAATACCCGTTTTCCAGTTACATATAAACATTACAGTAAAAAAATATAGATATATAACTAATTTCTAGAGGTTAGTTGAATTATAACCATAATAATATATAAATAGTTATCAAATTTGAAATGTGAAAAATTTCTCTTTTTAATATCTCCAACATATATCCCTTTCAGACCTGAACGATACGGGCGTGAGTTGTAACTTTAAAAAATCCTAAAACCGCGCACAATTCATTTTTACGCACGAAGCTGAAATAACATGACAGTGAGACTCTAAACCAGCCAATAAGAAATCAGTTTAGCGGTTAGGTGGTGCAGTAGTCTCGTGCGTGCCGGCATGATGGCTTGGCTCCAAAATACGGAAATATATTTAATCTGAAAGAAAAAAATCTTGGGTCTGAAAGGATAACACTTTCCCAACGTGATCATCGTCGTAAGGCACCGAAATCATATTTTTCCCTCTATTTATTCTCGACTATTTGGAATTTAAGATTGTTCTCGTTGAGACGTTGGATGAGGCTCGTGTTGCTGAACGCTAGGGCTGTCGTCATCACGCCGCCGCTGTGGACAAATACATTGAGTTACTTTTATTTAATTAAATAAATCTTAATAAATAAAAACCTCGCGTTACAATATTCATCCACGCTAAGTTTTGAAACCGTATTATTTGATTTTAATGAATTTTTGTATCCTTAAAAAAATGTAGCCGTGCTATTGCCAAGTCATCTATACTTATAATAAATCTGTAGAGAGGTAAATTCTGTACATGAAATATATTTCCAAAATAACTATCAGGCGGTGATTAGTGATCGATACTGATGCCAAAAATGCAATCAGTAAAATTTTTGTCTGTCTGTCTGTATGTCCGTTATAGAAACAAAAACTTCTCGACGGATTTTAACGAAACTTGGTACAATTATTTTTCATAATGCTAGGCAGGTTATAGTATACTTTTCATCACGCTACGATCAATAGGTGCAGAGCAGTGAAGGGAATTGTTGGGAAAACGGGAGAGATTACTCCATTTTTAAACGGTTTTATTTAGCTCGACCTGTACGGTATTTATTTATTTGGGTCAAAATTAGAAATTGGAATTTAAGCACCTTCCCGTTGTCAGATTGATCTGAAATTTGGTACACACATTTAATTTAGATGACAATACAATATAATAAAATCAATAACATTATAAATCTAAGATGGCCGCTGATACAAAATGGCGGATTACATATTTTTCCTTAACCCCCGCAATATGGGTATCAAATGAAAGGGCTACACTAGTAAAACACGATGATTATGTCAAAATTTAAAATTCAAGATGGACGCCGTTCCAATATGGCGGACTAGGTACATATTTTTCCACAACCACCACAATATGGGTATCAAATAATAGGACTACACTGAGACACCCAGACACTAGACACTCGGACACTAGACACTCAGACGCTAGACCCTCAGACACTAGACACTCAGACACCCAGACCCTAGACACACAGACACTAGACACTCGGATACAAGACACTCAGACACTAGACACTCGGACACTAGACACTCAGACACTAGACACTCGACACTCGACACTCGACACTCGACACTAAACACCAGACACTAGACACTCAGACACTCGACACTCAGACACTAGACACTAGACACTCGACACTAGACACTAGACACTCGACACTCGACACTCGACACTCGACACTCGACACTCGACACTCGACACTCGACACTCGACACTCGACACTCAGACACTAGACACTCGACACTCGACACTCAGATACTTAACACTAGACACTAGACACTCGGACACCCAGACACTAGACACTCAGACACTAAACACTCGGATACAAGACACTCAGACACTAGACTCTCAGACACTTGACACTCAGACACCCAGATACTCTGATATACACTCTGATACTCGACACTCGACACTCAGACACTAAACACCAGACACTAGACACTCAGACACTCGACACTCGACGACACTCGATACTCGACACTCGACACTCAGACACTAAACACTAGACACTAGACACTAGACACTAGACACTCAGACACTCGACACTCAGACACTAGACACTCGACACTCGACACTCAGATACTAAACACTAGACACTAGACACTCCGACACTCGGATACAAGACACTCAGACACTAGACTCTCAGACACTTGACACTCAGACACCCAGACACTAGACACTCAGACACTAGACACTCGAAACTCGACACTCGACACTTGACAGTCGATACTCGACACTCGACACTCGACACTCGACACTTAGACACTAGACACTAGACACTCAGATACCCAGACACTAGACACTCAGACACTAGACACTCGGATACAAGACACTCAGACATTAGACTCTCAGACACTTGACACTCAGACACCCAGACGTTAGACACTCAGACACTAGACACTCGACACTCGACACTCGACACTTAGACACTAGACACTAGACACTCAGACACCCAGACACTCAAACACTAGACACTCGGATACAAGACACTCAAACACTAGACTCTCAGACACTTGACACTCAGACACCCAGACACTAGACACTCTGTCACTAGACACTCGACACTCGACACTCGACACTCGGCACTCGACACTCGACACTCAGACACTCAGACACTAGACACTCAGACACTCAGACACTCAGACACTAGACAATCAGACACCCAGACCCTAGACACACAGACACTAAACACTCGGATACAAGACACTCAGACACTAGACCCTCGGATACAAGACACTCAGACACTAGACTCTCAGACACTTGACACTCAGACACCCAGACACTAGACACTCTGACACTAGACACTCGACACTCGATACTCGACACTCGACACTCGACACTCGACACTCAGACACTCGACACTAGACACTCAGACACTCAGACACTAGACACTCAGACACTAGACACTCAGACACTAGACACTCAGACACTAGACACTAGACACTAGACACTAGACACTAGACACTCGACACTCGACACTCGACACTCGACAGTCGACACTCGTCACTCGACACTCAGATACTAAACACTAGACACTAGACACTAGACACTAGACACTAGACACTAGACACTCAGACACTCGACACTCAGACACTAGACACTCGACACTCAGATACTAAACACTAGACACTAGACACTCAGACACTGGACACTCGGATACAAGACACTCTGACACTAGACTCTCAGACACTTGACACTCAGACACCTTTTTGGCCTCAGTTCCGTCGAACCCAAATGTACGAAACAGATATATCATCAGTTTTAATTGACTTTGGCACAGACGGCATGCACGTTATTTACCTTAAACCCATACAGTTTCCAGCAAAATTCAATTATGGTACGGCTGAAAAAAGGATGTTGCCCTTAGTTTTGTCATGAGCATTCACCGTCCATAAAATGCAGGGCAGCACCGTCGACCATGCAGTAGTATATTTGGGCTCAAAATGGTTTGAGGAAGGACAAGCATACGTGGCTCTAAGTCGAGTCAAGTCTCTGGAAGGGCTATGTATTGAGGAATTAGATTGTACTAAATTATCAGGTAAGAAACCATGTAATAATGATGCACTGAATGAATTAAATAAAATGAGGAATATTCGGTAAACAATTTCATTAAATACTAAAAACAAGAAAATAAAAATCGGTAAAAAAACTTTTAAGTTAAACGGTTTTATTTTATGTGCACTGAAAACTACAAAATAAATAAATAGTTACTTACCTATCAACCTACGTAGGTGATCTCGGTCATTAATATCTCTGATGGTAGTGGTTGTCATAACATGAACCATGTCAGCGGCCGAACGGCAGTTCATGAGAGAACACTAACACCAGGGTTTGCTTGGTAGGTAAACTAAGCAGCCCGCACTATAACAAGTAGGTATTTTGACCTTCTAGTTCAGAAATATTTTAGTACTAGGCAGATTAGCTTTTAGGCATATTAGACTAAAATAAAAACGTGGGGCCCCTCTGAAATCATACCTATAGCAGAGCATATCTTATACTTTGGTAGATCATGAGCTCGGCGTTCGCTGGTGAAGCCGTAACGGCTGGTTATTGATGGTCAAAACCTCCAGTTACGATTATAGTAAGTCGATTCAGCGGACTCTGGACTCCGGAGCTATGAGGTTTCGGATGCGACCGGGATAAACCGCTAGGATGATGATGATGACGATTATAATAAGTCGATGCAATCCACACTTAGTATAGTAGAAAGTAATACAGAAATAGTTAATGGGCCCCACGTTTTTATTTTAGTCTAATATGCCTAAAAGCTATTCTGCCTAGTACTAAAATATTTCTGAACTAGAAGGTCAAAATACCTACTTGTTATAGTGCGGGCTGCTTAGTTTACCTACCAAGCAAACCCTGGTGTTAGTGTTCTCTCATGAACTGCCTTTCGGCCGCTGACATGGTTCATGTTATGACAACCACTACCATCAGAGATATTAATGACCGAGATCACCTACGTAGATTGATAGGTAAGTAACTATTTATTTATTTTGTAGTTTTCAGTGCACATAAAATAAAACCGTTTAACTTAAAAGTTTTTTTACCGATTTTTATTAAGCTTCCGTCGCGTATGCAGCCTTAATGGCCACTTTTTAAAATGTAATAATGTCCACCCGTGCGACGCCGGGACGGGCCGCTAGTATATAATTATAATAGAAATAAAGATGTCTAATATTAGTATGATCACTATAAAAATTGATAAGCAATTTATACATAATAATTTATAACAAAATTGTATTGCTCAGTCTGCTGCAGATTCTCGGATACTTCGGTCATATTGCTCGTGGACAGTCGAACAATCTGGACAACCTAATGGTTTTAGACAAAATAGAGGGGAAAATACCACGTAGACGATCACCTAGTCGATGTTTGGACCGAGTAACCGCCATTACCGGACTATCAATTGCAGTTCCCTGCGAGAGGCTGAAGACCTTGCGAAATGGAGAAATATCATAAGAAAGACAACAGACACCTTTCAAGGACACGACCTCCAGTAAAGAAGTGGACGAAGAGAGAGATTGCACTTGTAAATTACATTGTTAATGCATTTATGAATATTGTGAACAAGGGTGGACTTATCTCTGACAGAGATAATATTTTAAAAATGAAACCCATACTAATTCTTTTTTTTTTTTATACAACTTAGAATGGCAAACAAGCTGACGGCCCAGCTGATGGAAAGTGGTAACCGTCGCCTATAGACATGAGCAGTACCGTGGTCATAACAGAATATACTGTTTCACCTATGATACCCCCCATGCATTGCCATTCCTGAGCACTCAGGTGTTATTCCTCTGTAGCCAGTAAATTCACGCCATATCCCACCCTTCAAACCGAAACACAGCCATGCAAACACAGCTGCTTCACGGTTGAAACACGAATGGGACAGAGGTACCCAGGCAATCGACTTTTGTACAAAATCTCCCTCTGGTTAGGGAAACTTTGACATTGAGACATTCCTATTAGTTCCTTTTGTAAAATATTAAAATATAATAAACATTTACCGAGTCGGCTGGAACAGTGTACCTTATTACATGTACAGGTCAATGACGAACACTTGGAAAGTATTAAAAAAAAAGAATACTCACGTGCCGGGCATCTTGTCCTGTTCCCGCAGCATAGTGAGGCCGCAGTGTATGAGGGCCACCACTGTGGCACCGTACCCGGGGTTCAAGCCCGACACCTGACGGATTTTTAACATTATTAAAGCTTTTTGTACTGTTTCAACCGTTAACTGTCCACTGCTGAACACAGCCTTCTACATATGGGGGGGGGGGGATTTTGGTTTAAAAATTAAACTTCTGAATCGATTTTGATAAAATTTCTACAAGACCAACCTATAAAAATATCCTTCTAGATAAAATAAAGAATTTTTAAATTTACTTAGAACTGACGGAGTTGAGAAGTAGCAAACATTAAAAAAAAAAAAAAGAGCATCCCTCTTTTTAAATCGGTTGAAAAATCAAAACATTCAATTATTAAATCAATTTTTTATTTGTAGGTAGTATTAGTTTGTTTTTTTTTTTATACAACTTAGAATGGCAAACAAGCTGACGGCCCACCTGATGGAAAGTGGTAACCGTCGCCTATAGACATGAGCAGTACCGTGGACATAACAGAGTATACTGTTTCGCCCATGATACTCCCCATGCGTTGCCTTATTACATTTTTATTAAATTTTATTAAAACAAGCTGCAATTTTATATATATAAACAAATAAAATTATACGAACCGTCGCCAACACTTCCTTATTGGGTGGCAAAGACTCGAGGTCCGCATCGTTCGCCCACCCCCTGCCAACCAGTTCGAACTTGAAGTGCGTGTTGTTCATGACCTCCTCCTTGGGGCCCTGCCTGGTGATCATCCCGCCGGAGAAGAACCGTGGATGGTCGAGTAACAGTTGCCTGGTGTAGGCGGTTCTCGTCATCAGGTAAAGCAATACGCCAGCGAACGCTGCCAGTAATGTGGTCACTAGATTTGAAAACTTCACGTAAGCCTGGAAGTCATTTTAGTCAAATTAGCATTTTTCGACCCAACTCTGAATGAAATATCCTAAATTTGCTTCAGGGTTCATAGGCTACAGTGACCGTTTACCATCAGATAGGCTGTATACTTGTTTACCACCTTTGTGGTATAAATAATTAAAAAAAAAAAACCTTATTTAGGTTTTGTAGAACTTTATCGTGGCATCAATGTCTATTAATCTGTCTATTATGAGATATAGCATGAACAAAAATAGAGAAATCATCTTAAAATTCGCAGGTAATCTAGGTAAATTTCAAGTATAACTTAGAATTGCAAACAAGTTGATAGACTGATAACAATTTTTTTTTATAC